ATGGGCAAAGAAATTCGCTCGGCCACTTCGGATGCACACGGGTTTTTCTACGATGCGCAAGGAAATGGAAATCTTCCAGTCAGTAAAACCTTTTTCCAGGATTTCCACAGCAAAATGGATCACTTACAGCAGTCTTGACGAGCTCCTCATCGTATCCCCCAGCTCTGACGACCAAGGAGGCGCTGCGGCCGGACGGCGAGCAATTCACTGTAGAAAGCTTGACGCTCTGCCCCATGAACTGAGATCCGGCGAGGCTCAACGTGTTGTTGAGCGCCATAGCCGCGGCCATTGCTCCTCGCAACCAAGGATCGACGAGCGCCCTGCCTGGAAAACCCTAAAATTCCACACACCACTCGCAGACGGAAGCGCCAAGGGCTCACAAAAACGAAGGCTACGTTGGCTCATATCGGACGGCTGCCGCCGCCCCTTTATACATCCAACGGCTGGTAGCGCGCTTCTAATCTGACGACAGAGTGGATGGTCCATGTTTCTCCTTTGACGAGAGCCACAATGTAGCGAGCGGCGAATGGACGGCCCAGATTTTGTGTCCTCGGTTGCCACACGACCTTTATCATTCCCATCTGGGAACAATAGTGATGGATGCCATTGTAAAAAACTTTAGACTAAATTTTCTCGTCCACTATATCCAAATTCTTCCAAGCTTTTGTGTCCAATCCTTTAATCTTCGAGGACTTTCGGAGTTACACCTCATTCCATATCAGGCTTCTTCTAAAGTTGACGCTTTGATAAAATTTTACACTCTCATGGTCTACCTTTCGAGTAACTATGTCGTCCCTGGTCCATGAAAAAACAACTTCTAACTTGTCATGGACAGAGCTTTTCCTTGGGCGAATTTCCCCGTCCATGACTTGGGATACAACTCCACAGGCTCGCTGGAGATAATCTCGTCCAAAAACGCAGACATTCTTTGCCGCTTACACAAGCTGCCTGGAAAGCTTTTCTCGTGGGGATCCCCGGGAGAATGAGTGTGTGTGAGATACCTTGAATTAAAAAACGATCAATCAGCGTAGGATCGGAAACAAGAGTTTAGTTTACTCACAACTGCTCTTTCGCACGGGTGATTCCAACGTAGAACAGCCGTCGCTCTTCTTCGGGGTCCGAGTTTTCGTGTGGCAAGATTCCCGCATTGACACCGACTATGAAGACACAGGGAAACTCCATTCCCTTTGAGGCATGGAGCGTCAGCAAGCCAACGTGTTCCTTGTTCGTTTCCTGTAGAAAGCTAACTTTAAGCTTTGCAGCACTCGAAAGGCTATATACATTTACCTTGTCATCAGAGGTTATTAGCATGACGTCTTCAAGGAAGCCGGCCAGGGCACGACGCCCCTTCCCATGCTTGCCTTCGGCAGAATCTGCGCTTTCCTGCACTTCAATAATTCAAGCCAACATTCGACAATAAAAACGAAAATCTACACCTTGAACTGTTCCACGAGTTGACATCTTTTCTCAAAGATCCTCTGATCTTCCGTGTGCTCTTCCAAGTATTTAATAAACTGCGTCCTGTATATAGCCCGTGGTCTCAGATAATCTCGTAAAGAATCGAACTTACTTGTCAATTACAGCCTGAAGCAAGTCAGCAGAGGACTCCTTTTCACTGAGCTTCGTCAGCGACTCTAGAAGCTCACAAAAGCTCAAAACTGCCGTTCTGTGACAAGCACGACATAAGCGCCTAAAAATTAATCAGCCAAATGTGGATTCTACTTTGCCTTCGCTGTTATTCCCAAGTGCTTGTGTCCAGGATCATCCTCTTTGAGTTTCTGAAAAACACTTCTTTAAGAATCACAAGAGATGTCAACGAGCCTGTACCAGTAACGCTTTGAAAAGTGGTAGATCTCGTTCCGAAGCCCATTGTTTAAGATGGAAAATTGTTTTCTCACCAATTCCTGTATTAGCCCACTCACTGGTTAGCGACAAGTTACACGGTACGTAACTTACCCCGAGGTGGCGTATTGATAATACGTCCCAGAGCGAGTTCATCATTACTATTGTGAATAAGTTTCAAGTAGCTGAGAAGGTCCTTTATCACCTTGTGCGAAAACAGTGGAGTTGCTCCTAGCAGCTTGTATGGTATATTTGCCTTGATTAATGCTGATTCTAGAAGAAAACTCTGCATAAAAGAAACTGATTGCTGGAAAATAACAAAGAAAAACGAGAGATACCTGTCTGTGAGTTCGATAGAGCACCGCACAGTCGCTCCATCTATCTTTCCTGGTTCGAATGATTTCATCGGCAACAAAACGACTTTCTTCAGTGGGGTCACTCAGCCAGCAGACCTTTACAGGTGCCGTCCAGGGCTGTAAAGTTCAAAAAGTTATATCGCATTATCGTATTATTCCTCTTACCTTAATGGAGATAGGCTTCAGAGCTTCTAATTGTCCAATGCGACGACTCATCATACTGTTTCCGATTATTTTCGAAGCAGCACTGAGAATAGCCTTAGATGATCGATAATTCTTCCGCAGCTGTAGGTGATGTAAAATGTCGAAAGTAACTAAAAAGTTTTGCATAAATTACCTGAAAAGTAGCTATCTGCGGGAAGTCGTTGCCCAGGAGATATTGCATATTTCGTGACTCAGCACCTCGCCAACCATATATTGCCTACACCAGGGACAATGTCAACAAAAAGTTGCAAAAATTTAACACGGCTGTGACTACCTGATCGATGTCACCGACCACGAAAAGATTTTGATTTTCAGAGCAGAGTAAACGGATAAGCTCATACTGGGCCTGTATCGAAGCGTTCAGAAACATATAACGAACGATCCTGTTGGTACCTTGTCTGTGTCCTGGAACTCGTCGACAAGCACGTAAGACCATCGCTTCTCGAACCTCTGACAGCAACAAAGAAAAATAAAATAAAATCAGAAAACGAAACAATCGTTCAATCAACAAACGACCTTTGCTCCAGACGCTGGCAAACACTGTTCCACAATCAGCGTGTTTCAGAGTAGAGTCCAACCTTTCGAGCTGACGGAGTCCGATGAAGCTCCATAATCGTCAAATAGATCAAATCGTCAAAGTCAGCCGCATTGTTCGCTCTTAGATGTTCCTGCAACAAGCAAAATAAGAAGTGCCGAAGAGAAAGTAGAAAGCACCTCAAACATATGCAAAAGCTTGCTGACATCGTCGGTTAGAACCTTCGGGCGGGACGGAAGATCTTTGCAGCGATTTAACGCAACAAACCTCTCCAGGTACCAGCCTTTGGCTAATCTCATGAGAAAAAGTCCTCGCTTCAAGTCCTCCGAAGGTATGCGAAAATGAACCGGTTTTTTATCGGTGGATGTGTCGCTGGAAATTTCCAAGCCACCGAAAAGAGTAAGAAGGCCCCATTTGGAAGCACCGGACTTGCATTCGGACAAGTGACCCTCAGCTACCTGAAAACATGAAACGTGAATATGTTACATACCATTTCCAAGTATCACCGTACCTTCACATATATATCTTTGAGAATCTTCTCACAGTCAGCCTCGTCATAGATAACAAAGGCCTGGCTTAATCCAGACTCGGGCTTTATGTCTGGAAGAAGCTTCTTCAAAAGCTTCGTACAAAAGCTATGGAACGTAGATATCTAAGAAAAAAAGATCAAGAAGGAAACAAAATAAAAGCACCATTCTTCCTTACAGTGATTTTTCTCGCAGCATCAATCCCCACCAAGGACCCAATCCGGTGTCGGATTTCTTGCGCAGCTTTGTTTGTGAATGTAATGCACTAGAAAATTCCAGTTTCAGGAACTTCAAAGCCTACATTTTTACGTACCAAAATATTTTCCGGATCGATTGAGTTGTGATTGATCTCGTGCACAATGCGATGCGTGAGAACCAGCGTCTTCCCGGAGCCCGGACCCGCGACAACGCGCACGCATTTCTCTGTGGTTGTCACGGCCGCCTCCTGCTCGTCGTTAAGCCCCACGGCATTCGAGAAATGGAGAGCCGACACGCAAGAAATCCTGAATCCACCGCGTAGCCGGCCACGGCAGCGCATCAGCGTCCCATACACCGGGAGAAATCGGCATTGCGGCGCGAGCATCATCGCGAAGCCCGCAGCTTTCCGCCAAGCATTCACATAAACCCTAAAGCCCAGACTAAAAGAACGAATATAGAAACCAAATCTTTGTTTTATTCGCATTTAGCTCACAAATGTGAAATTGGTGTCTTTCTTCCACAAAAATGATTTTTATTTCTCCACAAATCTTTTCCCTTTCACTCTGATCTGCTGCTGTTGTTGTTGTTGTATGGTTTTGGGCTTGAATCTTCCCATTGTCACGTCTTTTTTCTTCATCGTCGTATCGTCTGGCGCCTCGCTCGTCTCGTCTCGTCGTCAAGTATCAGAAAGAATATCGTGTCGTTCTCTCCTCTGTGAAAAAAAAAGAAGGCTCACTCGCAAGTCAATTTCTTCTCAGCGGCCCATCCAAATCTCTCGAACAGGCTCAGCACCACACCATTGCTCCATCCAAATCCAGCCTAGAACACATAAACACAAAAACTTCTTAGAAAAAACTCCAGAAAAAAACAAAAATTTAGCCTACCTGTGGCAAGTATTCTCCTCCCGATCCAACTTTACCACAGTATCGAGCATCGTACTTCTCCTGCATCTCTCCAGTCTCCAGGTATCCTACATAGTTCGTCTCCAGCCACCGTCTAGAGATATCCTTGGCCAGAGCAATCCCTTCTTCGTTCTCAGTGAGCGCAAAGCCTTCTATGATCATGTGTTGAAGAGGAGCCCAAGCATTTGGGTAATCCCTGTTGAAGCAAAGCAACACAGATTAGCACCAGGGATTCCGCAAACAACTCCATTGTTCTCACCATTGTTGTCCTGTTTGTAAAAGCGAGGTCGTAATCCCAGCTGGTAGCAGCAGTCCCGATTCTTTGAACGACGCTATCATTTTTTGGATTTTCCTATCGCCTGTATGCAGCAAAAGATTTCTTTATGAGAAACCATCGCACTTGGGAAATTCTTTTTACCTGGTGGAACAACGCCGCACCAAAGAGGTATAAAGTTGGACGGGTAAGCGTCAGTGTTGTGATGTTCTGGGAGAAAGTCGTACGTAACCTGTGAAAGCAACAAATTCAATGACCACGTCTCACGGAAAAAAAAAAAAAAAAAAGGGGGCCACAAGCCATCACGGAAGAGATGGAGCCTCTTCCCTGATGGCTTATGGCCCCCTTTTAGAGGTTTTTCGGGTTTAGAAGTTACCTCAAATGCCTTGTAATTGGCGGCGTTGTTTGCAGCGTTTCGCTTGACGAGCCAGTAATCGAGATACTGACCCATCTCTTCATTCCATAGAATGGCGTCCATTGCAATCTTTCTAGAGTTTGCAAGCTTATAAAAGTGCTTCTCATAGTCAGACTTTCCAAGCAACTTCGCAAAGAGAGCAATGTTGTTTTCCATCTGAATGCACAACCAAGCAAATACAAATTATTCAGTCGCAAATACTTAACCATCGCTGTTGTTACCTGTACAAGAAACGCGTTTAGATCCACTGGCAGGATGAAAGACGTCTTCATCGTTTTAAGATTGTGACGATCCCTGTGGGAAGAGAACCGGGATTAGAAATCAGATAAGACACAAAAAGCATTTAGACGCACTCCATCCAGCGAGAGCTGAAGTCCCAGCCACTCTCAGCAGCAGTGGCAATGTGGTGATAAAGCTCAGCTCGCTGGTGTCTCTCCAAACCTTTCGCAATTTGCATGTCCTGTAAAGACAAAAACAATAATTAAGAACGGGTTAGAAAGGGATTGTGATCTTACAATAGTGGAAGATTCGGGCCGTGGTTCATCCCACATAGCATAATATCTTGTTAACACATGCTCAACACCGTTTGCGTCACGGATATGAACTCGGTGAGGATCTGGATCACCGAAAACGTTCAGCGAAACAAGGCAAAACGGATTATAAAACCAACAACAACTCACCAGCACACCAAAAGTTATGCTCCTTGAGAAGAGCCGGGAATGCCTTTTCCACAAACGAAACGTCCTTGGTCTCATGATAGATGGCCATGACGGCTTCGCTAAGCAGCGGGGGTTGGCTTCCTGTCAAGTCAAGAAAACGCATGAGTTAACCACATAACTTGCGAGGCGTTTAGAAAACTTACGGTTAGTGTAATAGGTGCGAGCACCATTTGGAATAAATCCAAAAGAATTGGCAAGGAACATCAGATTCTCCACGACATTCCTGGCCGTTTCGTAGAGCTTACTCACGAGAAGACCTCTGCAAGAAAAAAAATGAAAAACCAAGAGAGATTTACACTTTTGAGGAAGAACACAAAAAGAAAAACGCGAGAAAAACTCTAGACCAACCTGACGATCCAGTAAGTATCCCAGTAGTAAACCTCCCTGAATCTGGCACCGGGAACGACGACTGGATTTGGAAGAGGTATCAGAGTGTGCTGGTGTGGATCCTTGTGCACCCTCTCCTTAACTTTCCTCGCCAAGAGCCACCACAGCGAATGCATCTTGAGCGCAAAGTCGCGAGCAGCGGGATTTGTAACATTCGCGAGGAAACCCTCTGGCTCGTTCTTAAAATCGGTGAGGTTGTCGGGTAGGAGATCGCTCCCGGGTTTGTCACAGAACTCGTTAAGGAAATGGTTAAACTCGCCTGCGCCAAGAAAAGAAACCAAACGGGTGTTAGATCGCGAGAGAACGAACACAATGCATCGAATTCCACCACGAAATTGAGAAAGAGAGGGAAGATTTCTTGCCTGTGTCGACGCTACCGTTGTTGTTCTGGAAGAGACTGACGAACGCCTCCTTGGTCGATGGCAGCGAGTGCTTGAGCGGCAGATCTACATAGACCTTAGGGTCGAAGTCGTGATCCCCTTCCACCTGGAGCGCCGCGTTCTGGATCATCACCAAGAACGACTCCAAATCCGTGTGATTCCTCATCACCACGGGCGTGCGGTAGCAACCATTGCAGCAAGGGATCTCCTCCATGGCCGAGATAGATCCGAGGGCCCGGCCGCTGGATTGAAGCTGCGGCTGCGCCGATTGCTCCTCCCCCGTGACGAATCCGCCCTGCCGCAGCGACTGGAGGCCCGATGCTACCGCGGATGCCGAGGGCGGCGGCGGCGACGCAGTGGCGCTAGGGTAGGCTGCTGCCGATGGCGATGGCGAGGACGACGATGCGGCGATGAGATGCGGCAGCCGTGCGAGCATTATCACCAACAGCAGAGCGGGCGAGGACGATGATCGGGCGCGAGGAGGGGGAGTGGCGGAGGAGGAGAAGAGGCGCCGAGGCGGAGACGAAGCACACGGAGAACACGAAGAAAGATAAACAGGGGAGGAGAAATGGACGACCTGGCTCACCACGGGATTTGGGACAGCCATGCGCCCGCCCAGTGTGAATAGGGACCTTCAGTCATAAATCAAATAAATCAAAAACTTTTATTAAAGGATTAAAAGGAGGAAAAAATGGGAGAAAAGGGATATACCTCAAGCCGGCGGTTGATGCCTCGCCTAGATCAACGCCTGTGATGCGGGCGCACTGGAATTAGGTGGCTGCGTGTGTGCGACCAAACGAACGAGCGATACGAGAGCACCGATGCGCGGAGAAACCCCAGTGGCTTCCTAGGGCTTTATATACCCACCACCTTTTGTTTGGATCCTATCGAAGCTCTCTCTGTCGAGATGGCCTCTTCCTCCACGGTACCAAAACTTAACAATGTGGCGACGCTTGCAGTGTCAGTCTAGGATCCACACACAGCCAAATTTCTCTTGCGTCTCTCGAATTTTTTTCGTGGCGATGGGGGTTGACTCGTGTAACTACGGTATTGCTCGCCGCCAGTACGCTTAGTCACTGGCGCGATGTGGCAACGCACGCAGCCGGGTGTCTATACACAAATTCATCTCGGCTAGCTAGAGTATTGTGGCAATGTCGTTTGGTTTGATCGAGTGGGGATGCTTGACCAGTGGGTTTGATTGATACTAGGCTAGTGAAACACTCCATGTGACAAAACCATGTGGGGCACAACGACGCCACCTCTCTTATCTATCCACAACAACAATTATACATGGTGTTTTAAACGCCGTATATGTGCGTGTCTTGCGGTTGAGAGCCGGCCCTGGAAGGTGGCGTTCTCTTGCGGGTCAAGATTCAACAGCCAGCTAGGTCAAGCTCCCGCGGAATCGAACCCGGCAACGAATATCTTCCAGGCCAATGGCACCCATGCCGTACGTGGATACGCGTGCGCACGCAAAACACGAGGTGGGTTGGGTACGGCATTTACCTCGCGCCCCCATGGATAAGATCGAACTGGCGAAGGAGCATAGTAACTTAAGGTTAAAACCTTATCCACAACAAGAGAAGGCCACAAACATGACATTGAGTTTCGTGGAGTCGTGGTGACAGTTAGGTGACAACCCAAGGACAGCAGCCTTTTGGAGTGCTGTCATTAGATTCGCATCCCGCGAATATTCCCATCGTCCCCTCTCCATGTCAAACTTAATGAAAAGACCTAATTTATTCGAGAAGAAACTCTCTGTTCTTTGGATCTGAAACTCGCATGGAAAACGACGACTGCGAGATCTAACTTGAATCTTGTGACTTGTAAACAAATGGGAGCGAGGGCGGATTAGTTTATACCTATCTGCGAATCGCCTGTCCCGGAAGGTGGAAGTAATCTTATATAAAAACGTGTGATACACCGTACGCGCGGGTACTGGCTTCCGTACGTCCGGGCTGGACTGTACATGACATGTTTGGGCATTTTCGCTGTGCCCGGCGACAAAAAATGGAATCAAGCGTAAAAATACATTGCCAGCACTTGCGTGGTTGTGACGTGGTTGGCATTCCCTCGAATCGGCAAATGCCGGATCAAAGGCATCTGCAATACGTGGTCCGATCTGCCTGTTCTAAGTAACGTTCTTGTCACTCACACACTCCTACACACAAGCACAGAATCAGACAAAGAGGTGGACAAGGTGGCATCTCCACCGGGCGTAAGGAATGGTCACACTTGGAGGCAATGGATTGGGACTAATGGATAGGTGGATGTTGCAAAGACAATTTTGTTTAGTCAAACCTCCACATCTAACCTTCAAAGATACGGAGGTTATGGTTTCAATCACCCGCAATTGCTCAGACAATTTCTCAACAGGCAATCCTTGAAATTTCCAACCCAGAGGAGGAAGGTCAATGTAGTGGAAAGTTGGTTGTGTCTGGCTGGATAACGGCCGTACACCGACGTGGTGCCACGTCCGCCCGGCCATCGGCCGCCACAAGCTCCCTCCTACGCGTCCACGTCACGCGCGCCCCGAGGCCCATGTCATATAACAAAAGCGTGAAAAGTCGCCGACCACCAGCACATTGGCCGGACTCGATCCCCGGATCTTTCCCCTCAGCCCCTGGCACAAGGTGGTCCCGGGTTCCAGTCCTCTCCACTGCTCCCACATCGCTTTCGCGATTCGGTTCCTTTGTCGATATCGCCAAGCAGCCTGGCACTACAATAGCAAGAAAAAAGAAGAAAAGATGCTCGCCCGCGACGAACAGCATCCCCAGATAGCGACCATTTGGGGCTAGAAGCTTAAAAGTCGCCATTAACCTCGTGTCCATCGTCAGCATACATACACATCGTTGCCTTCTCTTTAGTGGACGGACATTGGGTGGCCAGGGAGGAACCCTAGACCAGTCCAAGAATCACGGACCCAAGCTTTGGACCGCATGGAATGGAGTGGAGCCCTAGATATCAAGTAGTCCAAGAATCACGCTAACTTGTGAAACCCTTGGAACGCGTGATATTCTCTCTTTTCTTCTTCTTCTTTCTACCACGCGCGGGCGCTGGCCTTGGGCGTGTGTGGGGTTTTTTTTGAGTAACGGGATTCCTGTATGGAATCCTTGGCCAAGCGCCACAAACGCTTGTGGGGGGACTTTAACGCCTTACTCGCGTTCGCGCGTAAACTAGCAGATATTTCAAATTTTTGAATTTGAACTTTAAGGCTGGCCAATTTTTGAATTTGAATTTTAGGGTTCGTGTGTCAAGAGGGATTTGATGCTGCGCGCGCGTCGCCATCGCGCCTCGATCACTCGCCAACAACATCGAAAGGGATTTGCTTCCAGCAGCGGCACTGGTCACGACAGCGACATTAGAGGATTGCGAGCCGCGATTGAGGAGCTGGAGCGCTGCGATCGTGTGCGCTGCGACGAGGTCTACGCTCGCCTCCTCCGGCAGTGCGCGGATTTGAGGGCGCTGCCCGAGACGCGGCGGATCGACGCGCACATCTCCGCCTCGGCAGAGTTCCATGGGAATCGATTCCTAGGAAATCTCCTCGTCAAGGCGTATGGCAATTGCGGCAGCGTGGACGATGCTAGATCGGCGTTTGCGGGCATCCGGCAGACGAAGAACAGCCACACTTGGAACTTGCTCCTGGCCGCGTATGCCAAGAACGGGCATCGCGAGAAATGCGTGGGTCTCTTCGAGCAAATCCCAGAGAAGAACGTCATGTCGTGGAATTTCCTGATCCAGGCGCACTCGAGCAAGGACGAGCTTGTAAATGCGCGAAAGGTTCTAGAGAAAATGCCCCACCGCAACATGATCTCCTTCACGATTCTGATATCCTGTCACACCCAGTACGGGGATTTGGATCTCGCGAGAGATTTCTTCGATCAGATGCCCGAAAAGGACACCGTCGCGTGGAATTCGATGCTCCAGGCATACGTCCGTCACCGAGACCTTGTCTCCGCGAAAGAGATGTTCGACGCCATCGCTCCCAAGACCCTCGTCACGCTCACGACAATGATTCGCGCGTATGCCCGGACAGGGCATATCGATCAAGCCCGAGAGATCTTTGATACGATCCATCACCCTGATGCCATAGCCTGGAACATCATGATACAGGGCTACTGCGACGCTGGCTCAATCGATAAAGCAAGAATTTTGTTCCAGATAATGCCAGATCCAGATGCCTTTACTTGCAGCTTGATGCTATCGGGATTTGCCGCGATGGGGCTTGTGGATGATGCAAAAGCTCTCTTTGATCGATGGCGGCAGGAGGATCCAGTCTCGTGGAATTCAATGATCACGGCCTACGCTCACAATGGCCGTGTTCAAGAAGCCAAATTTCTCTTCGATCAGCGCCCGGATCATCACAAGCACGTCGCGAGCTCCTGGAACGCGATGATCGCCGCGTATGCCCGAAACGGGCATCTTGTCGAGGCAGGGGGCTTGCTGGAAGCGATGCCACCGGCGATCCAGAACGAGATCTCTTGGAACACCCTTCTCTGCGCATTCGTGAGCCGCGATATGTTGGTTCAGGCCAAGGATCTGTTCAAGAGAATCCCAATCAAGTCGGTGCTTGTCGCCAACACCATGCTCGGGGCGTATGCCCTCACCGGGCAGCACATCGAGGAGGCGATGAGCGTGTTCGCTACGATCGATGATCCGGATCCCGTGTCGTGGGCGTCGATCGTGGGCGCCCACGCGCGAGCTGGGCAGGGAAGAGAAGCGATTCATCGATTCCAGCTGACGGATCTGGCCGGGGTGAGGCCGATCGAGGCAGCCCTCACTGCTGTTCTTGACGCCTGCTCCTCGATCTCCTCCTCGGGGCTGCGATTTGGCCGCATCATCCACGGCGAGATTGAGGACGATCGAGGGCTGGCGCTGGGGAATTCGCTGCTCAACATGTTTGGGAAATGCGGTGCTAGCATCGAGGAGGCCGAGATGGTCTTTGCAAGAATGGCGACGAGGAACACCGTGTCGTGGAACGTGATGCTCGCGGGCTATGCACAAAACGGGCATAGCTCGCAAGTTCTCGAGCTCTTCGCGGTGATGATCCTGGAAGGCGAGGCCCCGCCCAGCAAGATCACTCTCGTCTCGGTCCTCTCGGCTTGCAGCCACGCCGGGCTCCTCCACGACGGCCTCGCTTGCTTCGCATCGATCCGCGACGACTTTGGCATCGATGCGCATGAGGATCACTACAAATGCGTCGTGGATCTTTTGGGCCGATCCGGCCAGCTCGAGGCGGCCGAGAGTTTCATCCAGAGCTTGCCGTTCAAGGCCGACAGTGGAGTGTGGACGGCGCTCTTGAGCGCTTGTAGCAGCCAAGGAAGCGTCCATGGAGGAGCTCGAGCGGCGCTAAGCATGGTGGATACTGAGCCAGGGGAATCGTCACTGCCATACGTGATGCTCTCCAACATCCATGCCACTACTAATTGATAATGTTGTTGATTATAATTGACCATCGCTGACTTGGAATTAGAAATTAGAAGCCTATAACCCACAGTATAGATACGCTGGTGTCCTGACATATAGCCAGATGCTTAAAATTTGTACATTTTAAAAATGTTGCAAATATCAGAGTGGCGCAGCGGAAGCGCGGTGGGCCCATAACCCACAGGTCCGAGGATCGAAACCTCCCTCTGATAATCGACTCGCTTGGATCTTATTGCAATGAATGTTGATACTACCAAAAATGTCTTTTCACTATAGCTAAAAGCTCACAGCAATTCTTCTTGCTTTGCTCCTTGCAGTCTGTATTCACAAGTGTGCAGCTGAGGGTTCTTCTGTCTACATGTTAAAACAGTCCAATTCTCGGCGATCCGTAATGTTTCTGGCTCCTGATGAGTTCTTGAGTTCGTTCCATGATCTGCAAGAAAAATGTTCTTGTGAGTTCCTGAGACGATGAAAGAGAAAACCAAGATTAATGCAGTTAACTTGCCTTCAGAGCGATTATTGACGGAGTAAGTTCACATATGTCCTTGGCATTCATCTCATTCGCAATCACTGCATGCAAAGGATGTGAGCGATAAGAAAACCATCTTTGATAGAAAACTTACTCTTTAGGCACACGGAAACGTCAGCGTTCTTGTAAGCCATGCCTCTCTCCTCGTAAAGCTTTGTTAATCGAGCTAATGTCTGCAAATAACAGTGACCAGAAAATTAAAATATAAGACAAAAGATAAGAATGCTTTCAAGCTATACCTGTTCATGAGCAAACTCTCGCTGCGGCTCTCCCAGAAGTGGTCTCTTCTCCGTCCCAGCAGCCACAACACGCTTGGCTAATGCGTCCAATGGAACGTCCAGATAGACAGTGATCCCATGTCTCATATAACCCCTGACAACGACACCACAAGGCGTTCTTATCCTCCTCTCGATTATATAGAGAGAAAACGACTATCTTATCTTACCAGTTTTGTGGTCTCACCACAGCACCTCCTCCTGTCGCTACTACCAATCGATACATCCCAGATAATTGGCTTAAAACCTCACTCTACATTATCCACAAAACAATGGAAAAAACATCAGGCACTGAAGATAGACACGTTTCAAGGCCGCAAGACAGTGGGGATCACTCACCTCAGCATCGCGAAAGCCTTCCTCGTTGCTTTGCTTGAAGATCTGAGCTACACTGGCGCCGCCGGCGGCCTGCTCAACAAGCTTGTCACTGTTTCTCCACGAAGAAAGTCCATCAAGTGGTGCGACGAAGCAAATCGAAAGAAAAAAACGAGATACACCAACCTGTCAAAGAAGTAGTACCCGAGCGCGTCCGACAAGTGCTTTCCCACAGTACTCTTTCCACTGCCCATCATCCCTGTGGACGAGAAAACGAAGTTGTGTTAAAGAAAAAGAGAAAGAGAAAGGAGAACGAGAGAGAAAAGCGAAGTGGTACCAATTAGAAACAGGCACGTCCCTTTGAGGTCCCTGGCCAATTCCTTGCCTTTGCTCTGAGAATGTATGGTCGTCCACTTAGCATTAAGAGGAAAAGAAGAACATAAAAGGAACCTATGGATCGCACCTTTAGAGCTGTATCGACGCTGGTGGATTCTGTGGCTGCGAGAGAGAAATCGATCAGACGAAAAAAACGTGTTCTCGAAATTCGAGAGAAATTCTCGGCACATACCAGCTACATTCGCGTTCTGCGAGCACAGCAGCACCACCGAGCGCCTGGCGCGATGATGAATCTGCGACGGATTCCTGCAAGAGACGAGATTGATGCGCGATTGCCTCCCAAAATGCAGCTCCTCACGAGAGAATCCCAGCCTCCGGAATCCATCGCCGCCGCGGAGCTCCACGAAATTCGAGGACGATGTCCCTGCCGAAGGCGCCAAGACGCAATCCATGGCGCACGATCGATCGAATGCCCACAATTTCTTGAGCTAGGGTTGGGCTTTTATCTGCTGCACAACCACAGCCGTTCGATGTGACCAGCCCAACGGCGGCGATTCAACGCGATCATACGAGTCAACAAGCTTACATTTTTGAATGGTAGGCCGCCGGCGCTTCTGGACTTGACAGCCGTTGGATTTGGATCTTGGGAAGGGCAAGGCGGGGTATATTCCGTCCACGTCTTAGGGCTAACGAGGCAAAAGAAAAAAATGAGCTGGTGCGCTCGAGCTAGGGCGCCGGGCGGGCGCGCTCTCCTTTTGTCCTCGAGATTTCGCCGCTTCTACGCGTAAGTCCCTCCACATCCTTCTCGGGCTCGAATTTCTCGTGTTTTTGCGCTAGAATGCTTGAATTTTCGAGATTTTTTGCCTATGGAGCAATGCTCTCGAGGCTGGCTGGAGCTTGAAATGCCTCATTTTTGCTACTGATTTATTCCTTTCTCGTTCCTTTCAGCTCTGCGACAGCGCAGCCATCTGAAACAATCGATGATTTATCGCCGCAGCCTTCAGCTAGACCACCATGTAAGCTGGAAATTTTCTACTCTTCTTGCGTTTGAATTTTGTAAATATTTTTTTCTTGTTTCTTTTTTGTTCGTGCAGCAGACGATCTCTTGTCGGCTGAGGCACTCACTCCCGCGAAAGTCGTAGCTTTGTTGGATCGTCACATCGTCGGCCAAACCGGAGCCAAGCGTGCGGTTGCAGTGGCATTGCGTACGCGCTCGTCAGCCTTTGCTGCTGCCTGTTATCTGACTCCATAGGTGGTGCACTAGAATTTTCTCTTTCTTTTTTTTTTTCACTTCTTCTTTCATGCCTTCTTTTAGAAACTTGGTTGCTTTTTGCGTGTAAGTTTCTAGATTCTGTTGTACTGAAGTTCTTGAGCCGTCTGCACGCAGGAAATCGATGGCGGCGACACCGCATTCCTTCTCAATATCGAGAGGAGATTCTTCCCAAAAATATACTTATGATCGGACCAACTGGTTGCGGAAAAACGGAAATTGCGAGACGGTTGGCTAAAATGGCGGATGCTCCGTTTATAAAAGTGAGGAAGTGTTTTTATTCTTCGTTTGTTTTTAACTCATATTTTCTAACAGGTGGAAGCTACGAAATTTACAGAAGTTGGATTTCATGGCCGAGATGTGGACCAGATCATTCGCGACCTTGTTGAGAATGCTATATTACTGCAACGAGAAAAGGTGTTTTAAAACTCAACAAAGCGAGTTTTTTCAACTCTCTTCTTTCAGGTGCGAACAAGAATTTCAAAAGAGGTGGAGGAAGCTGTTGAGAACAGGATCCTGGACGCGTTGATCGGTTTGACCCTCGCTATTGAGGTTTTTGTTTTTGCGGCTTTTTGGTCTGTCTGTGGCTGAACATGTTTTAGCAGGAGGACAATGTGGATACGAGTTCACTGGAGACACTACGCAAGGCTTATAAGAAAGGGGAAATTGATAACCGCAAGCTAGTGCTGGACGTTCCCGAGGGAGGAAGAGTGCGCGTCCCTATTGAAGTCACAGGAGGTGGTCTTCCTATAAACGATCTTATTTTCAAGGTACTACGCCTCTGCATGAAGGAAGTGGTATTGACGTCTCGATTTCCTCTAGATAGAGAAAGCTTTGAAATCCCCGAAAGTTGAACGCCGTGAAGTAACTGTCGCCGAGGCCAGACAAATGCTCTCGGAAATGGAAGTCGAAAAACACCTTCAGTCCGATCAGATCATCAAAGATGCAATACGTGTACACGCTAGTGTTTTTGATCTCGTTTCCCTGGATGTTAATGGCTTCCACTTGCAGGCAACGGAGTCTGACGGCATTGTATTTATAGACGAGATCGACAAAATCGTTACAACTAGCGAAGCCAGATTTGGAGCGGATGCAAGTGCGGAAGGTGTACAGCGGGACTTGCTTCCTATTATCGAAGGCAGGTAAATTATCACCACGTTGGTTTTCCTTCCGTGCTAAGCTGGTCCTCCTTTCAGCGTTGTAAACACGAGACACGGGAATGTGAACACCGATCACATTCTTTTCATTTGCAGTGGCGCCTTTCACTCTTGTAAGCCAAGTGACATGCTTGCTGAGCTACAAGGACGTCTGCCTATCCGTGTTGAACTGAAAGGTCTCACTCGCACGGTAAGTCGCGCTGGAAGTGTTGCAGCATCCCTACCATGCTAACAGCCATTCTTTCCAGGATTTGTACCGTATTCTAACCGAGCCTGAAATAAATATGATCAAGCAGCAACAGCTTCTCATGGCTACCGAAAGTGTGGAGCTTGTTTTCTCCGACGACGCCATAAAGGAACTAGCCAATGTTGCGGCTGAGGCAAGTGTTCTTGTGGGGATTTCTTAGCTTACTCATTACTGAAAAATAAAACACGTTACAGGTGAATACTTCTTTGGACAACATTGGTGCTCGGAGACTTCACACGGTAACGCATTTTCTTCCTCAATAGCGAAATGTTCCCACTGGTTTTGTTTGATCCAGGTAATTGAGAAGGTAGTAGAAGATATCAGTTTCAATGCTCCAGAAAGAGCTGGGCAAGCTTATCACATTGACAAGCAAGTAAGTTTCATCGATCGCTTGACGAATTCATGGTTTCTATTTCTTTCTTTCTTTCGCAGAAAGTAAGAGATGCTGTGGGAGAGCTCTTGAAGAAAACCGACTTATCAAAGTTTGTTCTCTAAAGAGATTAAACTCGCCCAGGTAACTGGCCACAGCCTCAACAGGGCCCGGGCACAAGAAGCTCAAGGATCGCGCCATCCCTCACTTATGTTTTGGTTGAAACCCATCTTCAGCGGAAAGCCACTTGGCATCTCAGCATCCCAAAGGGGACATGACGAATCACCTTGGTGGCGGCGGTATTGAAACCATGCTGAGGCGCAAAAATGTAGAATCCCGGTTGATCAACGCAAAAACCTTTACACAAAACAAAAAGAAGAGAAAAGAAAAGAAAAGGAGGAGTTGATCCTGAAACCATCGTCTGGAAGACTTTCTTCGATTTGGATTTGGATTTGGATATTTGCACGGAGATCTCACTGAAGAAAGTTTTGTCCAGCAACCAGAGGGTTACCAGAAGCAGCCTGGAATGGTTTGTCCCCTGAAGGCTCAAACAATCTCCTAAGGCTTGGTTCAACAAAATGGACAAATTTCTCACCTCTATTGGATTTTCCAGAAACGCTGCTGATCAAAATGTATACCAGTATTGAAAAGATGATGGTCCTTATTTCTTTGTATATTGATGATTTGATCCTGGTCACAAATTGTCTTGCTTTCCTACAAATGATCAAAGAGTAGATTGATCTCGGCGATATTAAGTTCTGTCTTGGTCTTAATATCGGGACAATTCATTGCTCACTCACAGTGCTGTTAGGGATGAATTGTCCCAATATTAAGACCAAGACAAAACTTAATATTGCCGAGATCATCTGCTCAGTGCTATGTGGAAGAAAGAGCAATAGCTGAAAGAGCAATAGTGCTAATAGTCACAAAGTAGCATTGTTGGCTGTTGGCTGGAGTCCACAATCTAAGCCAGACAATAGACTGATGAGCCATGCCAATGAGTAGGCCTTGACCTAACTAACTTTCTTCTGACAATTCTCTAGACAGGTAAATACGCCTTTGGATAGCATTGATTTGCTTGATCTAGGTGAGAAGGTGGTGGAAAATATTAGTTTCAATGCTCCAGCGAGAGATTATCACATTGACAAGTAAGTAAAGAAAAAAAATATGATCGTTGTGAAGGAAACCGGCTTATCGAAGTTAAAAATTAAACTTGTGGCTTCCACTGCGCCACGTCGGAAAACGCCATCCTTTTGCAATTGGTCCATGTCAGCAAGATACTCGAGCAGTGATTGGTACATGTCAGCAGCCCTAAATACCGATCGGGATTTCATCACTCTTGTTCCTCGAGAAACAAGAGCTACATTTTCTCGACGAGGCGCGGGCGCGATGGCGGCAGCAATGTCGGCGGCGAGCGTCGGTAATGTAAAGGTGGGAGGATTTCTTGGCAGCTCCAGGGGATTCCAGGCGAATCGGGGCCGAAATATCGTGTTTTCCAGGAAGATCATGGCCAGCGCCACGAAAGAGGCCCCAAGAAAGGGCGCTAAGGAGGCGATGAAGGATACACTGCTGACGCCGCGCTTCTACACCACGGATTTCGACGAGATGGAGCAGCTCTTCAACACCGAGATCAACAAGAAGCTCAACATGGCGGAGTTCGAGGCGCTGGTGGCGGAATTCAAGGCCGACTATAACCAGACGCACTTCGTGAGGAATCCCGAGTTTAAGGCCGCCGCGGACAAGATCACGGGGCCAATGAGGAAGATCTTCGTGGAGTTCTTGGAAAGGTCGTGCACGGCTGAGTTCTCAGGGTTTTTGCTCTACAAGGAGCTGGGAAGAAGGCTCAAGGTACGTTTTTTTTCTTCTCTTCTCACCTCTTTCTTACACTTCTTTTCTTTCTTCTCTTCTCTTTCTTGCAGAAAACAAATCCCGTGGTTGCGGAGATTTTTACGTTGATGTCACGGGATGAAGCACGGCATGCAGGGTAAGTTCTCAGTTTCTCAGTTGGAAAAAAAGCATCGATCATTTCCTATATGTTCATAGGTTCCTGAACAAAGGATTATCCGACTTTAACTTGGCTCTGGATCTTGGATTTCTGACCAAAGCCCGGAAGTACACCTTCTTCAAGCCACAGTTCATCTTCTACGCGACGTATCTCTCGGAGAAGATCGGCTACTGGAGGTACATTACTATCTACAGGCACTTGAAGGCCAATCCGGACTACCAGCTTTACCCGATTTTCAAATACTTTGAGAACTGGTGCCAAGACGAGAACAGGCACGGCGACTTCTTCTCGGCGTTGCTGAAAGCCCAGCCTCAGTTCTTGAACGACTGGAAGGCCAAACTCTGGGCTCGCTTCTTCTGTCTCTCGGTAAAGCAAACCTTTGGCTCTTCTTGGAATTTTTAGATGCTCATGCTTCCGCTCTTGCTCTTCCAGGTGTACGTGACAATGTACCTAAATGACTGCCAAAGAACTGCCTTTTACGAAGGAATAGGCCTCGACACTAAAGATTTCGACATGCATGTCATCATCGAGGTATTTTAAAGTGAGATGAGAATAGGAACTCACGATCGTTTGTTTTCTCTGACAGACAAACAAGACAACAGCACGAATCTTTCCGGCCGTGTTGGATGTGGAGAACCCCGCGTTCAAGGAGAAGCTGGATGAGCTAGTGGTGCTCAACCAGAAACTTATAGCTCTCGGTGACTCTACCACTCCAGCTCCTCTGAAGACGCTGCAGAGGCTACCTTTGATTGCCGGAATGGTGTCTGGAATACTGAGCTTGTACCTGATGACTCCAGTCGAGTCTGGGTCGCTTGATTGTGTCGATTTTGAGCCGCAAGTTGTCTATTAACAAGGTTATTTTTCTTCTTACTGTGGAATTAGATAACTGTAATTTTTATATAGTATAAACTTAAATATTTTTTACATTAATCAGCACGAAAGGAAAGTTAAGTTTCCATGCTCAGTGTTCTTGTCAAGGCATTGTGCTCGCTTTCGTCCCAAAACTAGCGGGAAGTTTTTGGGAGCTTGGGAGCGACGTGTTGAACGACTCCTCTTGCGATTTCCTCTGCGGTAGCCAGGAGCTCCAGAAGAGCTGTGCCAACGTAACCAAGTTTGTGCTACTCTGCCGAAATTCCTGTCAAAATGATCACTAGCTTTCTGGAAAAGGAAAAAGTTAATGAGACAAAAAAATGGAGCTTTTTTTGACTTGCACTCCATCTTTTAAGTAGATGAAGGCTACGTCAAGTCAAGGATCGAAAGCAAGTAGGTCCAAAAACATTCATGTTACGATCCCGATGCAGCGGCTTAGAATCCTTCTCGCAAATACCTTCAAGAATTCTCAAGGTGAGCTAGGCAGAGATAAAGCCATGCGACTTTGAAGAGTATGAGACACTATTGCAAGGCGTCGGATTTGACTTTGAAAACGAGTCGGGAGGTTCTATCTAGAGAAAGGAAAAAATGCAGACTCTCGAGAAGTACCTTGGCAACGGTTTTCTCGCAGGAAGTAGCATCCATGACCAAGAATGATATGAAATCTCTCGGCCTTACTAAACAGCAGCAAGTAAGTACACAAGCATTAACAAAGCTTTACTTGGCCTACCGAATTCGTGATGTCGTTGCAGAAGGCCTTGGAGCTGAAAGCTTTCTTAGATGATCGCGGGCTTTTCGAGTTCTCCATGTGTGAGCAATTGAAGTGCTTAGAGCTTGTTAGATATTTAAGATCATGCTTCCTAGTTCTGCAAAGTCGTCCTCTAGTTCATTGCTGCTTTTAAAAACATGCTGCGAGTAGCTTGCGCGTGAGAGCTATGATCAAGTCAGGCTCCATCTCGGACTACCCCGCTTTGGCCATTTGGTTGCTCAACTCGTGCCTTTTCTTCACCCTGTAGTGTGTTATTTTTGGGGTTTAGATATTGCCTTGCACATTCAAATGCTCGGCTCTGCTCTTCCACGCCACGCACTAGAGAAAACTGTTGCAATCTGAAGACTCCAGCACCGCCACAGCTCAGGGACATCTTGGATCCTGGCACTCGGGATCAGACAAGAATTTAGTGTAGATGAATGGTGGTAAAAGCGAAAATCCTTTGAAACTTACACTATCTTCGAAGTTTTTTTTCCCCGGATGACAAATTAGACAGCCTTTTCTCAACAACAAAATTTTAGACACTAGCAAGGTCCATCCCAGATTGAAACTCTGCAAAGCCCAAATACTTACTGCCAAGAGTTTCAACATAATATCATATTATCAGTAGTGTTCCTTCCACTGCAAGTGTCCAAAGAATGGCAGCAACAGTGGGCAGTGCACTGCAGAAAAATGTTTTGGGGTGAGAAAAGAAAACAGAAAAGAAAAAGAAAATACGGTGTGACAAGTTTGATGGTTGCTGAAGAGCTAACAATGTGACTGATTCCGGTGATGAGGAGTGATAGAACCTGTAAGCGGAAAAGTATAGTTTTTCGTTCTCAGATTTTCTTTACGAGCCTGCTCCAAATCACGAATTTTTTCTTAGCGGTCAGCACCAGCATCTTTTGGTGCATTGGTTCGCCACAAACGGAGAAGAGAAAAATGTCAAATTCACATACCTTGTAGCATGCACCACAGCCTCTGCCTTTTGAATAGGATGGGCAAGGCAAGGTGGGAAGTTCACCATAGCCACAAGCTACGCCTGAAAATGCGCCTGAAAATGCGCCTGAAAATGCGGGAGACAAGAAAAGCGAAGGATTTGCTTACATACCGTAAGTTCCAATATCGCTGTGGCAAGGTCACTTTCCAAGTCTGCAGTTGCCAAAACCATTGGTCTCGTTCGAGCAGCTTCCGGATCGCCCTGGAAACTGGCACGTGTTATAATACAGGCCGTTGATTAAAGGTCTCTAAAGAATTATAAACAAAAAGAAAAATATCTACTCCCTAAAGGTTCGGTTCTTGGATTGATGAGGTACACCAAGAAGAATGTGAGCTGCCCAGCAGCTTAGCCGATTAAGGGTTGCCCCAATGAGGTGATCACTATGTAGATGCGCATGTTGTACCACTTGCATCATATTGACAGTAAAGTATGAACAGCAAGATCTAATGAAATTGGAGGATTCTTGGAGATTTCTTCCCTCCGCATGTTTCATGCATTACCCTTGTACAGTTAGTCTTAGGCGCATAAAAAACCCACACCTTCGAAGCTTTTGCCTTGTCTTGCCTTGCTTAGCTCTTTGTGCAAGTATCTAGTTCTAGTGCTCTTCAAACTTCTACTAGTCCACATTCTACCATGCAGCAGCTCCAGCTTGATGGCTTTCATCATCTGTTACAGAAGCATATGGGATTCTTAGATCTCGATCGAAATCTAAAGAGCGCTCCGCTGATTCAAACTTTGTCGGAGGATCTTGGCGGGAGAGAGGAGGTAGAAGCTTGGATGCGAGAGTACATTGCTGGGATCTTCATTCACTACCGCCACCACCGCCCCTTAGGAGGCTACTTCTTCTTCTCACGGATCCAGACCACCTTGTTCCAATGTCCGTGAGAAATGCCATCTCCGTCTGGATTTGTTTCTAAATGGTTTTCGTTCAATTTGGATGTTGCAGCTCCAGTGATTCGCAAGGTTCACAACGATTCTGCTCTCGCTGTAAGCATCTTGATCGATTGTCGGCGCAAAGCTTTCGATTTATCAGGATTAACGAAACTCCACGACCACGTTTTTCCTGTGTTCTCTCGCAGATCAAAGGCAGAGAAGTCGCCGGGGATCTAAGCGGGACGTGCCTGTTTCTAGTTGGTGAGTTGACCAGTTCGGCATTTTATCTTTTTCTCTTTTTTCCACTTGCAGGGATGATGGGCTGCGGCAAAAGTACCGTCGCCAAGGATATCTCAGAGGCGCTCAGCTATGAGTTTCAAGACAGGTTGAAAACAAAATAAATAAAGGAAAAGTGTCACGTTGTTTTTTTCGTACAGTGACAAGCTTGTCGAGAAGGCCATCGGTGCTACAGTCGCAAAGATCTTCAGCGATTCCAGCGAGGACAAATTCCGAGCAGCGGAGGTTTGTATAGTTCGAATGTCAAGTGGCAAAACATTGAAGCCTCTTCTTCTCTATGGTATAGAGTGAAGCGCTTAATCAATTGTCCGAGACCTCCAACGTTGTGGTGGCCACGGGAGGTGGCGCGGTTGTAAGAGACGAGAACTGGTAACAAGAGTTACATCTAAGGTTTATTTTTTTTTTACTGTTTTTTTTTTGACCATGGGATGATTTTTACAGGAGGTATTTGAAGCAAGGGATCACCATTTATTTGGACGTTCCCGTGGAAGCTCTAGCACAACGCGTGGTGGCCGCTGGATTGGAAAAGCGACCACTTTTAGTAGCATCAGGGCCGGACAATTCGCCAGGCAACGCTCACGAACAGGTTTTTCTCGTGCTCGATTGCTTGTCATTGTTTCATTGCAAAAAAATACTTTAAATTTTTTATTTTTTATTTTCAGGCTTTGGCTCGTCTATCAAAGGTGTACGCGGAGAGGAACAAGGCCTACGAGAGGGCTGATCTTAAGATTAGCGTGGCGAGTATGTTCATAGCTTGTTTTTTTTGTTTCATTCTTACAAAACGATTGTTTGGGTCCAGAAATTGCGAGTGAGCTAGGTAGAGACTTGAACGAGCTGCCCCCATCGATGATTGCTCTCAAGGCAAGTTAATCTCCACAAATTCCTTGTTCTTGAAAGATTTCTATAACATTGATCTCTATTCAGGTGTTAGAAGAAACGCAAAGGCTCATTAATCGCCATTGAAGAGCACCCATCAAATTATTCTTGGCATATCCAATAATGGCCGTTGGATGTGAGAGATCCAGCGGTTGAGATTAAGTGAGATTAAGAAAATTCTTGTACCCCTTTGAGAATGTAATGCCATGGCTCCTCCGCATTCGCAAGCTATGCACTCTCGTCTCCGGCGATGCGATCGGCGACCGCGCCCGCGATCGCGATGTCCAGCTCCTGGTCTCGCAGATCCGAGCTTGCGGCATGGCGGGGAGCCTTGCGCGGGGCAAGAGCATCCACGCCCACATCCTCCACACCCGGCCGGAGCTCTCGCGGGACCGATACCTCGCCAATTTCCTCATCCAGATGTATGGGCGATGCGGCAGCGTGGAGGACGCGCGCTCCGCCTTCGATCGCATCCAAGAACCCAACGTCTTCTCCTGGGGCGTCTTGATCGTGGCATATGCCCACAATGGGCATATGCGCGAGGCGAAGAGATCGTTTGATTCCTCCCCCCAGCGCAACGTTTTTCTCTGGAACTCGACCATCTCGGGGTTCGCACAGTGCGGCCACATCCAGGAATCGCGAGCAATCTTTGAAAGGATCCCGGCGCGCGATGCTTGCTCGTGGAACTCGGTCGTCCAGGCGTATGCCCAGATTGGGGATCTTGCCCAGGCGAGCGAGCTGCTGGATCGAATGCCGCAAAAGGATCTCATCTCTTGCAATGCGATGATCGCGGCTTACGCCCAAGGAGGAGAAGTCTGGCGATCAAAAGAGGTTTTTGATGTGATGGAGAGGAGGGAAGTGGTGTCGTGGAACAGCCTCATGTCTGGGTTTTCACAGAACAAGTATTACAAGGAAGGAAAACTCGTGTTTGATCTCATGCCCGCGTGGAGCATCGTTTCGTGGACGGCTCTGATCCAGTTCTTTGCCAGGAACGGGAATCTCGAGGAATCAAAATATACTTTCGACAGAATGCCCGAGAGGAATCAAACTTCTTGGAATGCAGTCATGTCGGCCTATGCGCAGAACGGCTGCTTAGAATATGCTCTAAATATTCTCGAGAAGATGCCCGAGCAAGACGTGGTGTCCAAGAACACGCAGTTGTCAGTATATGCCCAATCGGGGCATCTGGAGAGAGTAAAAAGGCTTTTTGATTCAATGGATTGCGATAACCCTCTCACGCTAAGCACAATTCTTCACGCGTATGGAGACGCACGTAACTTTGATGCTATGAAGGAAATATTTGAGAAGAGGCCGTACAGGAATCGAATTACCTGGACAGCCATGGTGACGGCATATGCCTCAAATGGGCATATCCCGGAATCGAAGAGAATGTTCGACAAGATGCCCGAGCATGGAATCCTCGCTTGTAATTCCATGCTGGCTGCTTACTCTCAGGAAGGTCATCTTAAAGAAGCCAAGGAGACATTTGATAAGATGCGCGAGCACAATGTGGTTTCGTGGACGAGCATGGTTCAAGCCTACGCTCAAAACAAGCACTTGGACGAGGCAAAAGCCACTTTCGATCAAATGCCCGACAAGGATTCCATCTCTTGGACAAACATGATCACGGCTTACACGCAGTGTGGTTGCCTGGACGAAGCTAAAGCAATGTTTGAGGATATGAGAAACCGGGGGATTTACTCGTGGACGGCCATGCTCACTGGCTATGCTCAAAGCTCCAACTTGAGTGTTGCGAGGAGAGTTTTCGATCGAGTTCCACAGCGAAATGTTGTGACTTGGAACGCGATGATCAGTGCGTACTCGCAGGGTGGTCATGTTGCTGATTCTCGTCTGCTGTTCGAGCAAATGGTGGATCGCAACATCGTGTCTTGGAACGCATTGATCTCTGGATATGCGCAAAATGGCTTCGTAGCCGAATCGAGGAAGGTTTTTGAGCTCATGCCCGAGCAGGACATGGTAACTTGGTCGAGCATGGTGGCGGCTTACGGCCAAAGTGGTCGTATCGAGGAGGCCGAGCAAGTGTTTCATCGCCTCCCGGAGCACGACACCATCTCTCTCACGACCATGGTTGCTGCTTACGGCCAAAACCTGTGCCTCGGTAAAGCAAAATGTCTTTTTGATGGGATTCCCAGGCAGGACTTGATCGCTTGCAACGCGATGATCGCTGCCTACACCCAGAACGGCTGCCTGGAGCAAGCAAAATCCATGTTTGATCGCATGACCGTGCTGAGCTCCTTCACCTGGAACGCCATAATCTCGGCTTACGCTCACTCAGGCCAAGGCAAGGCCGCCATCGAGCTCTTCAAGCAGATGTGTCTTGGAGGCGAGCAAATGGACGAGATTTGCTTCGTGAGCGTCCTCACGGCATGTACCCGAGTCGGGCTCCTCGGCGAGGGGCTGAAGTATTTCCTCGTCATGCGCGGCGACTACAAACTTAAGCCGGCTGGCGAGCACTACTGCTGCATGGTCGACGTTCTTGGAAGATCCGGGCTCTTAGAAGAGGCCGAGGAGCTTATCTACGAAATGCCTTTCCTTCCAAACGTTGTGGCCTGGGCGACTCTGCTGGGAGCTTGCAAGATCTATCGAGACGTGAAGCGAGCCGAGAGAGCTGTGGATAGATACTCGGAGCTCGATCCAGATAGCATCACGCCGTTCGTGCTGCTGGCCAACATTTACGCTGCTGCCGGCATGGAGGCCGAGGAAGCGAGCGTGAGAAAGAAGATCAGGGACAAGAAGACGAAGAACTTTAGAAATCCCGGGTGGCAGAAGGTTCCCGGGATAAGTTTGATCGAGGTGGACAACCGGGTGCACAGATTCATAGCGGGCGATAACGAGCATCCCAGGATCGAGGAGATTCGCAGCGAGCTCGAGAAACTTCACTGCGCGATGAAAGAAGCTGGTTATGTTCCAGACACGCGGGAAGTTCTTCACGATGTTGACGAAGAACACAAAGAGGGAATTTTGAGTCACCACAGCGAGAAGCTGGCCATTGCGTTTGGGCTCATGTCGTTGGATGATCGTTGCAAAGAGCCAGTTCGAGTTGTCAAGAACTTGCGAGTGTGCATGGATTGTCACACCGCTACCAAGTTTATCTCCAAGATCACGGGAAGGAGGATCATTGTCCGTGATGCAAACCGGTTCCACGAGTTTGACAACGGGACATGCTCGTGCCAAGATTTTTGGTAGGAATTACTGAAAAAAAGCGCAATTTTACATTCGAATCTCGAACTGTTTGATAACGGGTCTTTGCAACTGTGGATTACTGCTCATGAAAGACAGGATTTCTGATAATTTGTGTCGGAATATTTGTCCTTGTTAGCTTACAATCCCTCAAGAACAGCATGATCAAAAACCACGAGAAAACAGGAAAAAAAAACGATTTTTTTCTTTGCAGGATCGTCCGCACGTCCTGCAAAAACATGCCATGAAGAGAGCGCGTACTGTGGATGAAAACAAAAGCGGATCGCAGTAGAGTCATAGTGTCAGCCTTTCGTGACTTTGAGCGCTCACCAGATGTATTCCTTGATCTAGGAGACAAAGAGCGAGTAAAACTCCATGCCAGGCGAAATTGGTCGATCGATTCATCCAAAGAGTAAATTCTCCGCCAGAGATAGAGAGAAAAAGGTCCATCCATCGATCCAAAGAGTGTAAGTCTCCCAATCTCCTTGCCGGGAATTACTGCTACAGTGTGAGACTGTATCATTCAATGCAAGCCAGCTCCGTCCACCACCATCGCCATGAATGAAACGCTTTTCTTCCTTTGTTTATTTGTTTACCCCTTCATCATTCCCGTGGAGGAATGTGGTGGCGGTGGGAAAGAATTCCGCCCCAGAATCCCCGGTGTGGAATTCCGTGGCGGAATCGACGGGTACGATGGATTCTGGGACAGAATGTGGCTGGGTGGGGACTCTTTAGCCGTTGGAAGAAGGGAGGAAGTAACATTCTTTGCCAGCGAATTATACCGCTCTCTTGGTTTTATAGGTCTGGAGGTCGGAGCAAATATTTTGTGTGTTCCATTCCCGATCGATCGATTGTTAGGGTTCTTGGAGCGCGCGCGCGCGACAGAGGGATCGTCGCGTCGGCCATCGGCGCCGCATTCGAGGTGTGTGTGTGCGTGTGTCTCCGCGTAGCTTGTCGCATTCTAGTTTGGGGCTATTCTCTGGTGAATTCTTGGCCGGACAATCCAGGAGCTCGGCTTTTGTCTGTGGCATTCGATCCGTGTTGACGAGGATTCTTGCAGGAGGATGCTGCATTGCGTGGTCGAGAAGAGGATTATCTCATTCTTGTGAGCGCCTAGCTGCCGAGGGGGAAAGGCTTGCATTGATCGCTAGGATAGAGTGATGGCGGTATCGAAGAGCTCTAGCGCGCTGCCACCAGAGCTTATCAGGCTTCTAGACGGCGATGACAACCAGAAAGTCCGAGCTCACACTTACTATATCTTCAATCGGTCTACATTGCGGCATATGAGCCTTCTCAAGGCCTTCTGCCTGTTCGTTTTCCTTCTTGTGACGTAAGTTCTCTTCTTCGGGAAAATCTTCTCTACACTCTTTTTCTTTTCTTTTCAATGCAGGGCTGCTTACTTCTGGACTGGATCGTTTCCTTCTCATAACAAGCGGACGGATTACACAAATCCCGCTTGGGCGGACAAGGTCCAGAAGTCCGCAATGAAAAAGGTGTTGTCCAGTTTCTTAGCTTGGGATGCTTCTTCGTGTACTAACAATGAGTGTGACACACAGAGAGGTGAGATGGTTGTGCTAGTCACGGGGGCAGCAGGATTTGTGGGCTCACATGTCTCGCTGGCTTTGCGAGAGCGTGGAGATGGAGTTGTAGGGCTGGATAACTTTAACAGCTACTATCCAGTGGCGCTGAAACGGGCCCGCGCGAAGAATTTGCTCAAAGACGGAGTGTAAGTAACATGCTCATCGTGGCTATTGCTCGCTGATTTTGCCGGACAGTTTTGTCGTAGATGGGGATATAAATGATTCGGCATTGCTGGAGAGATTGTTCGCTCTTGTGAAGTTTACACATGTCTTGCATCTGGCTGCTCAGGTACGTTCGGCTCGAACTTCTTTGCAGTGAACTCAATTCGGTGGAGTGCAGGCCGGGGTTCGGTATGCTGCCCACAATCCTTTGGCGTATGTGCACAGCAATGTCAACGGTTTTGTCACATTGTTAGAACAATCCAAGGTGGAGAGCTTAAAAAGCAACGAGGTTTTGTTCTAATTATCTGTCTTGACTTTTCTTGCAGAATAGTAATCCGCAACCAGCAATAGTTTTTGCTTCTTCGAGTAGTGTGTATGGTCTCAATGACAAAGTACGACTGTCGCATCTCAAGCCATTTCCTGACAAAGTCCGGTGCAGGTTCCATTTTCAGAAGGGGATACCACCGACCGACCTGCAAGCCTCTACGCAGCGACGAAGGTAACAGGTTTTTCAGTCGTCTTTTCTTCTTTTGCTAATGTCCAGACGTTCTGTCTCGCAGAAGGCGGACGAGGCGCTTGCACACACGTACAATCACATATATGGCTTATCTATCACTGCGTTGAGGTGAAGCTCACGTTCATTGACTTCATATATAATTTTTTCGACAGGTTCTTCACGGTCTATGGCCCATGGGGCCGTCCCGATATGGCGTATTTCTCGTTCACGAGGAACATCGTGGAGGGACATGTAGGTGCCGTTGTCCGTCACTGTGAATCACGCGATCTAAACCGCTTATGTTATAACGTGTGTAGGCGATTAGAATATTTCAAGGTCCACATGGGGAGGAGTTGGCTCGCGACTTCACTTTCATCGACGACGTTGTGAAAGGCTGTGTGGCCTCTCTGGACACGGCGACTCCAAGCACCGGGAGCGGAGGCAGGAAAAACACCGCCGCACAGCACAGAGTTTTCAACCTGGGGAATACGCATCCTGTGAAAGTCGGCACACTCGTGAGCATTTTGGAGAAACACCTCAACAAAAAGGCAATCAGACAGTAAGCGCCTTGCTGTTGAAGACTTTTATTCCTTCTCTAACTCTTTGATTGCAGCATTCAACCGATGCCAAACACTGGAGACGTGATGTATACACATGCTAACGTGACCAAAGCACGCCTGGAGCTGGGGTGAGAATGCTTTCCCTCTGTTTGACTTACACTCGCGTTTATTTTTTATCTCAGCTACACACCCACGACCAATCTGGAGCTTGGTCTCAAGCACTTTGTGAAATGGTACCAAAATTATTACAAGTCGGGAAGCGCGCACGAGGCCAGTATGAGCGGATACAAGCCTTACTGAGGCAGTTTCTAAACCATACTGTGAGTTATACCATAGTACTAATAGTGTATAGATATTGAAACTTCCAGGTGCTTATATGTATCCTAGCACCACCTCTATACTTTTTTTTTCTGGCGGAAGGTTTCCTCAGAGTGTAATGTAACAATTCTTTCTATTCATTCAAGTTTGCTTTTCTTCCAGTGTAGGATATTATCGGCGTAAAGATTGGCTTTATGTGAAGCTATGGCGATGGCTGTGCCAGTGCTCCATAGGTTCGTTCCATTTCTTCATTCACGCTCAAGGGGTGCAGGGCCTTGCCGTTTTCGAGGACGAGATTGGGCTGCTGCTATTCACAAGCAGAGAGATGTAGTGGTCTCTTGTGCCCCTTCTTCGCCATCTCCACAGGAAGAAGCTCCAAAAAACAATCAATCTCGGGCTCTACTACCGCCGGTATTCCGTCATTCAGGCTTCGTATGTGTTCTCATGGCTTGTGTCTCAGGAGGACGTGAGGTACATTGCGAAATTGATCGCTGGATGTGTAGGTGGTGCTATTCTCATCAAGTATGGAAGCTTGATCGTTCCAGATGTTGCAAGACCCAGCATTCTCCAGGCTCTGGCAATGATATTCACTCCTGTTGTGGTGAGCGTGGCTGCTTTGTGGAATGCGAGCTCTAGAAAGAAGCCATGATAAGGTCTGTTTTGCAAAGTTCGTTTGTTCTTCTCAGACTGAGCAATCGATGTTTTTTGTTTTGTAGATTTGTAAAAGAAAGTCACCAAAAAAAAAATCGTATATTTTTTTCAAGAGCTCGTGCACACTCTGGAAAGAAGCACGAACGCTTCTGCGTTACCCGGGTCAAGCTCCAGCATTTGCTTCCCAGCGGCGCCACCATAGCGTCCAACTTGGTGCACGGAGCTAGCTCCCAGGAGTGCCCTCCACACGGGTCCGTGAGCCTCGAACGGCATGGTGACACTCAGCTCCTCCGCCCGGTCCAGCTCTCCAGCTCTCGCAAGCAAGCCCACCATCGCGGAGTAGTGCTCCGGCCGAGCACTCAATCCAAAGTCACCACTCAGCGACGCAAAGAGCTGCCAGCCCCGGTGGACGAGACCGCCATAGCCGCAAGCGATAAGAGCCGCCAGGAAACACACATCGTTGCTGTCAAGCCCACTGCAATTCAGCTCCTGGAAGCTCTCGAGTCCCTGCCTCCAGTCCCCGGCCAGGACGCTAGATTCGATCAAGCAGCTCCAAGAGACCGTGCTCCGCTCGGGCATTCGGTCGAAGAAGAGTTTCGTCAAGCTCAAGCTTCCGGAAGTGACGAACGCATGCAGAAGGCCCGTCCAGGCGACGACATCCCGCTCCGGCATGGCTCGAAACGTTTCCAGCGCTTCCTCGAGGAACCCATTCCGGGCATAGGCGTGAAGCATCGACGTCCATGACTGGAGCGTCAGCTCGGGCATTTGATCGAACAAGCTCTTGGCTTCCTCAAGATGCCCGCTCAAGGCATAGGCTTGCAGCATTGTCGTCCACGACGCGACGTTATACTCCGGGAAGCTGTCAAAGATTTGCTTAGAACTGGCAAGATGCTCAACCTGGGCATAGCAGTGGAGAAGAGCGTTCCAAGAGATCAAGTTGGTCTCCGGCATCTTCTCAAAACTTTCGCCACACTTTTGGAGATTTCCAAGGCGTCCGTACATCGCGATCACTGTGTTCCACGAGACGACATCGTGCTCTGGCATGCAAACGAAGATCTCTTCGGCGAGTCTGATATGCCCAGATTCGGCATGAGCTGCAAGAAATGTGTTCCAGGAAACCATGTCAAGGACTGGCATCTCCTCTTGGAAGATTTTTGCTCCTTTGCAAATCCCAGCTCTTTCGAGAAACGAAGTGAGTATGATGTTCCACAAGACAATGCTATGCTCTGGTGCGAGCTTGAGAAGCGAGTAAGCTCTCTCTAGATGCCCATTCCTGGCATATGCCGAGAGAAGGATACCCCAAGAGAATACGTTGGGTTGGCTGATTTGATCAAAGACTTGGCTTGCCAACTCCAGGCTCCCGCACCTGCCGTACGCCTCCACAAGTAAATTAGCCAAAAACCTGTCCTGCGTGAGTGAGCTACTGGTGATTTGCTTGTGAATTTTGGAAATCTCTGCTATTGCAACGCAATTTCGGAGATGATCCGCGAGGAAAATCCTCGCTTGCTCACTCGAGCACATTCAATGTGCTATCCTCTGATGATTTCTTGTCATTCTTGTCATCTACAATTGTGATTCTTCAAGATAAGAATTCAAAAGAGAAGAACTACCTAGTGAAAAAATAATCAAGTATCTAGTGGAGATTTATTCGTGAGAGTAATGTTTTTTGTGGGTCTTGCAGTGCCCAACTGGAGGCAGGAGCGCGAAAAGTCGTAACAAATCACCCAAAGGTTTTGGCGTGACAAAGCGAGGTTTTTCTTTGTGATAACGTAATTAGTTTGGAAGTTTGGGGAATCCACGCCCCTTGCAAGCGGCGAAGGATAAGAGTCTCCTTTCACAATAGCGTTCTTGAATTTCCAGCTTCAAGGCACTTTGCGACATTCATTTGTATCCAAAGCTGCCTCATGCTTACGCCATGCGGGAGATATTATCAACAAGATTGGAGAAAAAAAGAAAAAAGGTGGCGCCCAAGACGTTGAACTTCCATGTCGTTTTTACGTGTGTTATTTGGTTTGTGCTCTCGTGGCGATGAATAGATGGGTGAGGTAAAGTCTACGTGTCAAACAGGACAAGTGCCATCAATTCCAAGTGGGCTCTTTTGTTGCATGGCCAACTTTCAATGTGGCAGGGCGTAATTTCATCTCAATATATTTCTTGAGAAAGTCTGAGTTAGTAGTTCGCTTTAGAAAACGTTGTTATGGAAGCAGTGGAGCAAATCATACGGGCACGGACGCACGGACGCGCAGCTTCGTCTTCCCGGATTTTACGAATTAGTCAAAACCGTCACCTCTAGCGAGGAAATCGGCGGCTCACGATTTCACACGTCCACATGCGCGCCACGTGGTCACCAGGTAGAGAATATGCTTCCGTGCGGCGTCCGTGCGAGCGTTGTGGCGGATATAAATCGGCCACGCGAAACCATCGCTACCGGGAAAGAAAGGAAAAAAAAAATCACACATCGCGCATTAAATGCTTGCCCTTGAGAGGCGCTCCTCGCATGTGATCCACTCGCCCTCGCCTCAAAGGATCTCGACGAATCCGACTAGTTTAATCCATCAAATTCCATTCTAGCCGCGATCCATCCATTCTTGTTCCATCGATTTCCATTCCATCTCTGCTCGCTCACGCGATCGATCCATCAGCGCTGCGAGAGATTGTCAGGGGTAGCTGGCGGTAGCTCTCAATCGCGCTCGGTTCTTGTGCGTTGCGCCAGTTTCTCACAGGCAATTTGTCAATCGTTGCAGGAAATCCCAAGAACAGGCTAGGTTCTTGGCCAGGAATTCCAAGAACAGCAAGATACTTCTCGATCTTGGCAAGACTCCAGAGATTTCGAGGAGATTTCGAGCTCCTTTCTCGATTCTCTCTCCATCTTGGCTGGAACCCAAGAATCTCGATGGGGAATGCTTGCAGGATATCGTCGATAGACTACTCCAGCGACGACGAGAGCGGCGGTGGCGGCGGCACGAGCCGGTGGATCATCATCCTCCAGGCCAAGGGCGACGTGATGAAGCTGGAATCCCGCGGCGCCAAGATCAAAGCCGGCGATGTCATGCTCCAGCACCCCCACCATTTCCTCTGCCTCGCCAGCACCATCCTCGTGCGCCGCAAGAGCAAGATGATCCCGGCCAAGGCGACGCTCCAGCCAGGCAAGATCTATCTCCTCCTCCCCTTGCCAGATCCGGAAGGCCAAGAACACGACCAGGAGGAGCGCGAGGGGCACGAGCCGCTACTCCCCACGAGCAACAAGGCCGAGGGCACCACCAAGTTCATCATCTCCAAGCACTACCTGGACAAGATCTTGAGCGAGAGCAAGCAGCAGGGCAGCAGTAGCAGGAGGAGCTCCATCCGGCGCAGCGCTCCAATCCCCCAGAGAAGATCCTCCTCCTCCAAGCGGAGATCCTGCGAGTCGAGCGTCCAGCGGAGATCCATCGTGTGGAGCCCGGCACTGGACAGCATTCCCGAGAAGTAGGGAGTGAGTTTTCTCTATTAGCGCGCGCGCGCCCGGTATTCCTTGTCCGAGGTGTCCGAAGTGGAGTGTCCGAGGTGATAGTCGGTGTCCGAGGTGGTAGTCCGAGCATACGTTTCCATCGATTGGTCGTTTACGATGTTTTCTTCGTGTTTTCCTCTTGATCTTTAAAACAAAGATAGCTACGAATCAAGAACAGTTCCATTCCACGCCGCCACGGAACAAATGATAGTCTAATCTTTTCTTTGCACCAACCTTTTGGGAAATCTCCCTGTGGTTTTGTTTGACCGGGAAGCGATGCATTGATTCAAAGATTTCATGCCATAAAAACTGGAGCGACCAGCGCTGCGACAAACTTGGATGAACATGCTATCATGTGGAAGGCGGCACACCAAATCGAGAAAATCCAGCAGCGTAGTTTATATACGCCGGGACAAACTCGCCGTTATAGAGCGCGCACAAGCTATTAAGCCAACCAGTCAGTTCTTTCGAGACAAAAAAATGGGAAGAACAAAGAAAGCCAATAGCTGTGTGCTTGCTTGCCGTGGATGGATTGGAAACCAATGCGTTCATACGGAGCAAAGATTTATCTCTTCTCAAAGTCATCCTGCCAAAACAAGCAAACGAGAGAAAACGCATCAAAACAAAGGAACAAAGATTCGAGACAAAGTGTGCGTGCGAGTACCTCTCTTTAGACACAGACGAGACGATGCATTCCATTTGTTTCTAAGTCCGCGTTGATAGAAAAATTGGTTTCCTGCTAGTAGGCCGCGGCTCCATAATTCCCTCGTCCAGAGCCCGAGGCTTGGTTTGGACAATCTCTGGCCCAGTGACCGCCTTGGCCACACTTGAAACAACTATTTCCCGAGGCACCGCCTCCACCACCGCCGTAAGATCCTGTATTGCCACGACCGCCACCACCATATCCACCACCGCCGCTGCCATATCCACCCCCACCACCGCTACCATATCCACCACCGCCACCACCACCGCTACCATATCCACCACCACCACCGCTACCATATCCACCACCACCACCACCGCCGCTACCATATCCCCCACCGTATCCGCCGGTATAGCCACCTGAGTTGTTTCCCCCGAAACCACCGGCGTTTCCACTGAATCCGCCACCTCCTGTGTTACCACCGCCGCTGTTGCCACTGAATCCGCCACCATAGCCACCACTGGTAGTACCACCGCCAGTGTTGGCACTGAATCCGCCGCCGCCACCATAGCCACCACCAGAGTTGGCACCAAAGCCACTTCTACCACCGCCAGAGTTGCCGACGTAGCCACTGTATCCTCCTCCGCTACTTCCACCACCGCCAGCATTTCCGCCGTAGCCACCTCCTCCAGCGTATCCACTTGCACTCCCGCCATATCCTCCGCCTCCAGTGGTAGCGTGGTACCCAGCGTCCGCTCCAGACGTACCGCTCATCGTTTGCGCCGAGAAGCTCGCCGTGTTGTGGATAGGCTCGCCTCTCCTGAGCTTCCCGATCGCGTCAATCATGTACTTGCTCTCCGCGACGAAATCCAACTTCTCGGCTCGCTGGATATTTACTTTGACCCGCTGCTCGTCGTTGAAACTTTCTTCCTTGATCCTGACCTTGAAATGGTGCTGGGTGAACTGGATGCTGGCAATGTGGTCAAGGAACCGGCCGTTGTCCTCCTGTTTCCACATAAAGAGGTCCTTGGCTTTCACGCCCAAGAGTTCTTCCGCGGCCTCCTGGAAGCCAGTGAGCCAGGTAGCGCCCGTGTGATCCATCACTTGAATGGAGAGCATATATCTGTAGTCGCACTCGGGGACGGTTCGGTCACACCGCTCACACCGCCAAGTTCCGTCTCCATTGTTCGTCACCTTTTTGCTGCACTGCCTGTCTCCAATTTGCAGCGGGCATGCTGTGTAGCAGAAGCTGTCCGTCTTTATAAAGTGGATGGTCGCTCTTATAGTGACGAAGTCTGGCTTCTCCGATCTGCCAAGTCCCTCGTCTTTAATCTGCGACACTGTCTTCCGGTTCTCCGTCCGACCACCACCGCCCGCTCCTTCCCTGGAAATAGACTGCGCCTGTGCGTGCCTACCCTCGCGTTCAAACCACAACTGCAGGGAACGTGCTTCTGGATGATCGGGATTGATTTGGAACCGCGTCGAGGAAATAGTCCCCAGGCTCTTTCCGCTGAAATCGCTTACTCGACCTGCTTTGATTGCCAGTATGGGACTTTGGCCTGAATCACATAGCTCCTGGAGGTGCTGTCCTTCTTGAGTACAAAAGTTGCCCCACATTGTGATCTCGACGCTCTTGCCAGACCTGTCTCTAAGCTGCAGCGTCCTCCGTTGTGTCTCTGTACCGTTTTTTCTCATTATAGTCGTTGTTTGGTTGACCCCGACCACCACTCCAATGGCGTCAACCATGGCATTGTTCGGCAGATTCTCGATCTCACTGACCTGCTTGAAGTCAAACACTTGCTGCGGAACTGACGAGTCCTCAGGACACGGGTCGAGCACTGAATCCTTCTCGAACATAATCTCCCAGTCGTTCTTCAAGTGATTGAACTGCTTCTGTGCCGCTCGGAGGGATCCTTTGGAGACCATATATAACCGACCGACCTGAGCACGCTCGTAAAACTCGTCCGCAACGTTGTTGAAGCAAGTAACTCTGATCTCACCACCCTCGGCATCCAGAAGATCGAAGCTAAACACCCTGCCATCACCTCGGGCGTTGTTGAAGCGACGGAGGTCGCTCTTAGAAGTGATCCTCGCTTTGATCGTCCAGCGGCCGTGATACGGGTTCAAAGCTGCTATAGGAACAAGTCCAGGCGGCCCCTCGTTCCTTGCAATAGGCCCTCTATTCGTGTAAGTTGGCGGCGGTCCATATGGAGGATTCGGAGCATAAGACCCCATAGACTCTGCCGGTCTTCCACCGTACGCAATTGTTTCTCTTCTAGCCTCTGCTGGCCTTCCATAAGGACTCACAGCGGGAGTTGCTTGTCCTCCAAAAGAACCCGGCTCTGGTGTTCTTCCACCGATAGAGCTCCCCTCTGCTGCTCTTCCACCTAGAGAGTTTGTCTCTGTAGGCCTTCCACCGAAAGAGGTAGCCTCTGCCTGTCTTCCCCCGAAAGAGCTCACTTCCGTTGGCCTTCCGCCGAAGGAGCTCACCTCTGCTGGTCTTCCACCGTAGGAGCTGACAGCGGACGCTGTTTGGTTCCCACTAGGGCCAGGAGGATCAACTACCGCTCCAGGAGGTTGATCGCTCATCTCTGCATTTGTAACAAGAACATCCAAGTTGAGGACAATCACTATCCTGCAAACAAGGAAAAGAAGCTCGCACAAGAAGACAAGGATAGAAAAAGAGTAGCTTACTTTCTATCTTTCACGGTGTTGCAAATGTACTCTTGAAGCTTCACGATGCTGCTCTTCATCAAGGTTCCATTCTTGACGACCTCGTTGAGCTGCGTGGCGAGCATGGCCTGCTGCACAGCGGTCCCATCCGACAGCACCAAGCGATAGCGCTCTTGGACGTTCTGATTCGACCCAATCTGCTTCACGTCCAGTACCTGGACGATGGGCCGGAGCTCCAAGTCCCCTCCCAGGAGCGCCACAATCGCATTGGGGGTGAGAGACGGCTGCGCCATGAGAGGAAAGAATCGCCAAAACCCTAGACGACGGAAACAATAACAAGATCATCACCCAAGCCGCGATCGCGGCAGAGCCTACCCGATCAAACAGCCTGGCGATCGAGCCGCCTTCGCGATCGCCACGCGTGAGGCAAACAAGCGGTGCCAAAATATCCAAACCCTAGATTAGCGCGCCAAAAAATAAAGAAGCTCAATCGCAAGAACCCTATATTGGGCGGCAAAAGAATGGGGCTGCTTTGGGGGCGCAAGAAGAATGCTGCGCCGACTCCAACTCCAGCGCCGCCAGCGCCAGCGTCGGACCCAAATCCAGCCGATCCTCCCGTCTCCGCGGATGTCGACGCAGCGGCTTCGTCGGCAGTGAGTAGTAGTAGCGATGGCGTTGCTGCAGGATTGCTGGCGGCGGAGACGAGCGTCTTCGAATTTGGGAGCGCAGGAAGAGAGAAAGTGACGCTGGCTGGCTACTGCCCGGTGTCCGATGCCCTGGAGCCCTGCCGCTGGAAGATCCTTCCCTCTGGCGATGGAGCGCCCAAGTTCCGGGTTATCTTTTGATAAACCCTAGCTCGTCTTTTTGCCTTTGTTAAGGCACTTGGTTCGAATCTTGTGTGGATTTGATTAAGGGCCAATTACCATCCTTTTTATTTTCCCGCAACGTGTACACGTTAACATCACTATTTAATGCCTTCCGTACGCCTGGGATGTGGGGAATATCCGGTCCAGTCAAAAAAGTGGACGATGTGGTGCCACTTGTCGCCATCAGATTCATCGAAGGAACTGGAATATCCCCGGAGTTTGTTTTGGGGGACATGCTACATAGAGGCATATAACAACTATATGGAAGGTGACATCCTATAATCCACCACGTCCCATGATGATAATGGATCACATACATGCATAGCATTCTATGCCACAAGTGGGGATGTCTCTCCTTAGAGCACCGGTTGAGCCATAATAATACCGTAGAACCTTGAAATCCCTGGTTGAGGCATACATGTATGTGGATGGTTAGTCATTAGTGCGTTTTGTCTCACATCCCCCTGGGCTCTGGCCGGCGGGGATAACAGCGTAAACAAGAGAATTTTACCATTGGACGAGGGAGATAACATAACATTTGGCCTTCCTTCCCCACAAGTGGCCCAGTTAGCGTCGTGTAATGGCCTCAGCCGCGCTGCAGCCTAACGAGTGGCTAACTGTGGCGAGTCCAGTTTGTTAGCCTCGCCCCATTGCCCATTAAGAAAGTGGGAGTAGCAATACAGGGAGGTGTGCTGTGTAGTGTGTGTAGGCTATAGCGGCCCTAGAGTCCTTTGTAATGGGGAAGAGAGAATGTAGGCGCTGGGCGAGGGCGAGGGCTTGGAGGAGGCGGCGATGAGCGCGATCGAGGCACGGGATCGAGGCGGCGCTGCTCCAGGTGCGTGAGGCGCGGTGTGGAATCCGGCTGCGCGGCCGCGGCATCGAGAATCTGCCCAGGGTCTGGATTTAGGTCATCGAGGACTGTGCGCGAGAATGCGGCAACGCTCGCGGCAGCTGGGGAAGGAATGTAGGAGTGGCGGTGAGCTCTAGTGTCGAGGCCGGGAGGAGCGAGAAATGGGGTGTGCGTGCACCAAGGAGAATCCTCAAGAGGAGTCGGAGAGCCCCAAGGTTGTGACCAGGGCCAGCAAGCGGGTGAATGGATCGGCGAGGACCGAGGCTGCGGTGGCGAATGGGATTGTGGAGAAGGAGAGCAAGGAGAGGCCGAGAGGTAGGAAGCAGCAGCAGCAAAATGGGACTGTGGGACTACATGGGGATGTGGTGGAGAGGAGGAGAATGCCGGAGCCCAACCCCCGGCTCAGCAATCCCGTCAAGCACATAGAGGGCGAGCAAGTCGCTGCTGGATGGCCTGGGTGGCTCTCGGCGGTGGCGAGCGAGGCCATCCGAGGTTGGATTCCCCGACGAGCAGATTCGTTTGAGAAACTAGACAAAGTACGGCCTACTATTGTTCCTTGCTCTTGTTCCTTGGCTCTAACAGTGGTGCTTGCTTCCTTTTTCTTCAGATTGGCCAAGGCACGTACAGTAATGTCTACAAGGCACGCGACTTAGATAACGGACAAATTGTGGCGCTCAAAAAGGTCCGTTTTGATAATCTCGAGCCAGAAAGCGTCAAGTTTATGGCCAGAGAGATCCAAGTTCTCAGACGATTGAACCACCCCAACGTGATCAAGCTTGAGGGTCTCGTCACGTCCAGGATGTCCTTCAGCCTCTATCTCGTGTTCGAGTACATGGAGCACGACCTTGCCGGGCTTGCTGCGTGTCCAGGCATCACGTTTACAGAGCCGCAGGTGAGACGAGACGTGAATGCTTCCTTGATTTCTGATTACTGAATGCGAAAGCCGACAGGTGAAATGCTACATGCAGCAGCTGATTCGTGGTCTGGATCACTGCCATACTCGGGGAGTATTGCACAGGGATATAAAAGGATCAAACCTTCTCCTGGACAACTCTGGGATTCTAAAAATCGCTGACTTTGGCCTCGCCACTTTTTTTCATCCCGACCAGAGGCAAGCATTGACAAGTCGGGTTGTGACTCTTTGGTACAGGCCTCCAGAATTGTTGCTTGGGGCAACGGAGTATGGGGCTGCTGTTGACCTTTGGAGCACCGGCTGCATTCTTGCCGAACTGCTTGCGGGCAAGCCGATAATGCCTGGTCGTACAGAGGTAAAAGAAAACGTTTTAAATTTCGATTGCTAACTTGAATGCATTCACAGGTCGAACAGCTGCATAAAATATTCAAATTGTGTGGCTCTCCTGCGGAAGAGTATTGGAAGAAGTGGAAGTTGCCACACGCCATTATTTTTAAGCCGCAGCAGCCTTACAAGCGTTGCATTGCGGAAACGTTCAAAGATTTTCCCGCTTCTGCATTGGCGCTTCTAGACACCCTTCTTGCTATCGAGCCTGCGGATCGACAAACTGCAGCGGCAGCCTTGGAGAGTGACGTACGTCTTACAGTGGCATATTAAATACTTTTAGGGAGCTAAAGTGTTTTTGTTTTGCATGGCAGTTCTTCACGAAGAAGCCGTATGCATGTGAACCTTCAAGCTTACCACAGTATCCTCCAAGTAAAGAGCTGGATGCCAAATATCGCGATGAAGAGGCTCGCAGGTACATGTTTGTTTGTCTTGTCACTGTGGCTGTTTCTTAGAAATGAAATCTGCAGGCAAAGGGCTGGCAGGCATGCCGGCTCGGATGCCAGACGAGGTTCCAGGGAGCGGAGTAGCAAGGCGGTTCCGGCGCCAGATGCAAATGCAGAGTTACCAAGCTCATTGCAGGTACACTTTCTTTTTAGATCTCGAACTCTTAGATCTCAAGCTCTGATATACCATCCGTATTTGTACGACAGAAACGCCGTATTCATTCTCACTCTGCAAAGAGTAAAAGTGAAAAGTTCCTTCCAGCAAATGAGGACCCAGCAATTGGTTTTCCGATAGATCCACCAAGACAATCAGATGTAAAAGGTGCATCGCCGGTCGGTCGTCTCCCTCCTGCTTCCTCGCGGTCCGGCCCAATGACGAGGAAACAAAAGGAGGATGACGTGAGAATGGCCCCTCCCAGAATGATGACGCGGACATCGAAGACGGTCACTGACTTTAATGCTCCCGCCCAGCCAGCCGACTTGTCGAGCTACTCGAGCTTGGTCGCTGCACGGCATGGTGAACGAAGGGAAAGGCGAGAAAGCAGGCACAGGGAGAAAGAAAAAGAAGGCAACAGCGGCCCCGCAAAGCCGAGTCTTTCGAATGGTAAGGCTGAGAACGTAGAGAAACCGGCCGAGGCATCCAAGCCTGTGGAAGATTTGCAAAAGGAGTCGTCGTATCTCAAGGAGCAAACTAGTTTGGAAGCTCAAAGAACAGACGGTCTTCCTGCTCTGGTAAACGATCTCTTCTTAGTTTCTTCTCCTTTGCTTGCTGAAAACTTCGTTCCAGGCACACGAGAACCGGATGTACCACTCGGGTCCCTTGCTCCGCCCAGGCTACTCCGGAAACGCCATAGACGAGTTTTTAGAGGACCACGAGAGGCGGCTCCAGCAAGCAGCGAGACGAGCGGTACAGGCGGAGCAAAACGCGAAGGCAGCGGATAAGTGACGACCACTATACCACAAGATAACTCAGTATACTCCTACGCCAGGACTACTCACGCAGGTTGGGTCTCGGATTTTCATTCTCTCGCTTGGTTTGATCGTACTAAAATGAGATCGATCCAGGACCAGAACACACTAAAGAGAGAAGTGAACAAAGAGAAAAAAGAGGGGGCCATTCTTTTTCTTAATCTGTTCAAACTCATCAGTTTTTACATAAGAGAGAACCATTTTTCTCTTGGGGATGTCAAAGGTTCGTGGTTTTCTCCTTTCTTTCATTCGCAGTTACTAGGGTAGTAGTGAATAGCGTAGAGGAAATGGAAGAGCAGCAGTCCCAGCAGCTGGACGAGCTCTTAATTCCGCCACTAAACTTTGCAGTGGTGGACAGAGGCATCTACAGGTCGGGATATCCCAATATCACGAATCTTCCCTTTCTGGGCAAGCGCAGGCTCAAATCAATCATGTAAGCTTTTGAGTTCCTCGCTTTTCATCCTTGCAAAAATTCGTTTTTTCCTGGTTTTCCTCGCAGTTGCCTCTGTCCGGAGCTCTATCCGGACTACATCCTCGAGTTCCTCCGCAAGAACGAGATCACTCTTTTCCACCTCGGCATTGATGGAAACAAGGCGAGTGGAACTTTGATCTCTCTCTTTCTTCGATCGATCATAATCTCTGTGATTGGATTTGTACCAGGAGCCGTTTGTGGACATCCCCGAGGATGTGATTCGCCTGGCGCTCAAGAATTTGTTGGGTTAGCTGTGTTCTTACTGTTTTGGTTCCGTGAGGAAACATGGCTGAGTTCTCTGGATTTGCTTTGTGTGGATGAACAGATCCTGGCAATCATCCTGTCCTGATCCATTGCAACAAAGGCAAGGTGTGTTTTTTTTTTTGGTCGTAATCCTGTGATACTAACAGTGGCATGGATTCCGAAAAAAACTTGTTTTGCAGCACCGCACAGGATGTTTGGTTGGCTGCCTTCGAAAGCTCCAGCGCTGGTCGCTCACGGCCATCTTTGACGAGTACCGGAGGTTCGCGGGCACCAAGGTGAGGATGCTGGATCAACAGTTTATGGAGCTCTTCGACGTCTCCAGCTTCCGCGGATTAACCAGATAAACTCTTTTCTTTTTCCCCACTCTTTTCCCTGTGGGTATGATCCTAGGTTTGCGATTTTGGAGAGACAGTCGCAACCTCTCGTAGTTAGAAAATAAAATTTTTATAACACTAATTATTCTTTCTTTTTTCTTTTTCTTTTTCTTTTGGCTAAGCTCGAGTTGTTGAAATTCTCTCCAGCAGTATCTCCCAGTCGATCACCCCCAATCTCCACAACTCGCTTCTCTGTTGTTTATCTCTTTAGTCTTCGCTGTGCCATGTAACTTTGAGAATAGCTCACTCGGACGTCATAAGCGGCACAACATTTGCTATAAACCCAATGGCCAGCTCCAGAGAAGCAACATCGACCTTAACAGCTGTTTCAATGGAGGCAGCCTCAACTGTGGCAGAAACTTTGCTGATTCGTGCCAACATAGTCATCACCCGATAGCACCAGACCACGCTGGGAGACACGTCTGCCTTTGTCACAATCTCAATTGAATAGTATCAGAACCGATTCAGGATGAGCAGGAGACCAAGGATCATGCGTGTAAAGCGGCCTTAGGGCACTAGGGCAACCTCCTCCTCTTGAAGAGGTCCTCCTCCTCCTCCAACTGTGAACCTCCAGATGCACAGACCCGGTGAAAGTTGCGTCACGACTCACAAGAGCCTGCGATTTGTGGATGACACTTTAAAAGCCACATATTCACAAGTTAATCCGATGGCAATGTCCGAAGCATATCGTCTTCTTACACACGTTGCAGTAGTCAAACAGATCCTGGAAGAGGTAATGCCTGTTGGTGCACAGATGGATGAAGAAAGGAATGCAAGCATCTTCTATAGAATCGTGGTATCAAAAGAAAGAGGAAGCATCCATCCCCAAAGCTGGTGAACCTCAGTATTGTTGAGAGCTATCATCACGTCTCTCGATCTTGGCTCCGGGGATGGAAGGCTGGAGAGCAATGAGGAAATGTGCATAGAAGATGCTCACATTCCTCTTCTTCGTCCATTTGTGGGAAAATTATCTGCTTCGTGCTTCAGACATGGTCATCAAGACCATGCTCTCAGCCAATCAAGATATACCAGAAAGTCTCATCAAGACTCTTGCTAGCTGGTGTGGAAGTTCCTTGCAGCTCTCTTGCATCTCCAGAGGAGGATAAATAGGTTGCAGCTTAAAACAAAGAGTACAATTCCTTCATCAAGAACCATTTTCTTTGGTGAAAGCAGCTCCGCCCGGGCGATGTGGATTCCCACCAAGCTCAACCCAGATCATACAGCTACAAAGCACGTCTAGTCAGGATAATGGTCAGCTTGACCACTGGTGCAAAAGTCTCTGTGTAGTTAACTCCAGCTACTTCTCGCTTGCCCACCAAATGGATGTAAAGACCGCATTTCTGAATGGTGAGCTCAATGAGGACATCTACACGGAGCAGCCTGAAGGATACAAACTTCCAGGAAAAGCACAAGGTAATCTGTGGCTTGAGACAGTGGTACAAAAAGCTTGATGATTTTCTCAAGAGAAAATCAAGAGAGTGGGAGCAGATGCAATCTACATCACTGTCTATGTGAATGATTCTTTTCTTGCATGCAACAGCCAGCAGTTTGATGTAGGTTTCTTAGGTACTTACATGCTAGGGTGTCCAGACTCTCGCCGATCACACACCGGCTATTTCTTTAGCCTTCATGAACAAGAAACAGAGTGTGGTTACTTGTTCGAGCTGTGAAGTGGAGTATCTTGCTGCCAATGCGGCCTCCAAAGAAGCTATATGGGGTACTCTCCTCCAGGTCCTGCACATATTTATTGCCACGCAGGACATACCCTTACCAAACCTTTATCTGCGCCGAAGTTGTCCTCGGCTCTCGGTGTCAGCTAGAGAGGGAGTGTTAGGATATCTATGTCGTCCTGGGAGACACGTCCGTCTTTCATGTTTTTTCACAAATCAATTGAATCACAATTGGACATCCGCGCAATGTTATGGCAATGGCCAGTATCGCGATACCTCAGCTGTCAACAATGGATTCCTCCAGGAAGAGTGATATTTCAATATCAAATAAATTGGTTGTTTTATCAAAGAAAACTTCTTACCTTTTCTAGCTCTCTCATGCAACAGGTTTGAAGCGGATGTCCAAGTTCTAGAGGACACAACCTGGTTCCAAAATCCTCGTCAAAGTGACATGAAAGTTTCTTCCACAAGACGAGCATCTCTCAAGGACCATGCGGCATAAAGTCGAAGATCTTGTGCCGTTAGGCAGTGAAGAAACCATGGCAGTCCAGCCAAGAGTGTTTGTCTCTGGCATCCCATAGAAAAAAAACTCTCTGGCCTCGATCATCCTTCTGTTCTTGAGCAATGCCACGAGTATCTTCGAAACATTGACCTTGGACATTATTCACTGGGGGGCCAACTTGAGTCCCAAACAATTCATTCATCTAATCGAGCATGGCATTGCACGACGGGCATGGCGTCAAATGTCTCTCACGACAGCCAAATAACTTGGGCATACGCGTTAATAATCGCTGTCCATGACACGGTGTCTCTTTCGAGCATCCGATCGAACAGGTCTTTTGTTCGATCTAGCTCCTATTCCGGGCGAATCCCGCAAGCATCGCGTTCCACGATGTCACATTCCTCCGATCCATCGCCTCAAAGGCCTTGCACAGATGCCGGTTCTGGGCATACGTCGAGATGAGGATGCTCCAGGAGAGAAGGTTGGGTGACGCCATACCCGGCGAGTTTCCTTTTCGCTGCCACAGCACGGGAACGGATCGATCACGCGGCAGCAGATCCGGCGAAGAACCAACACGATCGCCTGCAGGCACCTGACAAGCTGTAGATCCGAGCAAGCTCCCCCGTCAGTGATCCTCGCCTCCCCATTGATCGTCCACGTTGCTCAAACCTCCTGTGACTTTGAGAAGAACTCGATCGATGACCAGGACCTCTCGGGTGGCAGGCGTCGTTGGCGCTGGTATAGGAGATTGCCGAGTATGTTTTGTGGCGGTGCTGAGTCTGATGGATGCGGCCGTTGCTACGTCTTCGATCGCATCCTGAGATCCAATTGATTCTCTTGGAACATTATGATTCTGGTGAGACATCTCGGTCACATTGACAGGGAAGGGCATTCTAGACTACTCAAACGCAATGCTCACAGCATATGCCAGGAACGGGCATTTTTATTTACGGAGACAACATTGCGATGGATAGAGATCCGGAACGTTATGTCATGGAACACACTCTCGTTTTGCTATGCGGAACATGATGATCCAATATACGGATTCACGAGGTGCAGCTTAACTATATCATCGTGGCATTCGCCCTCGGGTAGAGGGTTGACGTACTCTTCGATTGGATAATGACGGGGCTTCTTGATTGTTGCGGTCCAAGGGGACCGAGCTCTGCCGGGCATAGAGGCTCTTCCAGAGGATGTCGCTGAGGAACGCGGGCCGCGATGCTTCACGCGCCGGAAATCTCACTGCTCCACCGGATGCGGCAGCAAGAGATGGAGCTTGTCCTGGCCCTGGTCGCGGCACACCCGAATTCCAGGCGACCTCTGCAAACATTTCCAGAGAGATTCCAAATTTTTTGAATGAAATGTCATTGGTGATCCAGTCTCTTTGGTCAAGAAAATCTAGAAAGAGTTTACTACTTGAAGTTTCGTGTTGGAACTTCTCGTTTTATAAGTAGCTCCCAGTCGATCAAAACGCATACAATCTCCACAACTCAAACTCCATCCATCCATTCCAACATGTCACAGTTTATTATCTCGTTAGTCTTTGCTCTTGTGACGCTGTAAGCTCTTCATTCAATTTAAATGCTAAACACTAGAACTGTAGCTAATCAAAGTTTTTGCAACAAGACCTCGGAGGCTAGAAGTGGCACAACATTGACTGCCAATTGCTACAAACCAATGGCCAGCTCCAGAGGAGTAGCATCAACTGCTTCAGTAACAATGGAAGCAGCCTCAACTGTGGCAGAAACTTTGCTGCTTCATGCCAGAACATAGTCATCACCATCCTCCAGCTCTAATTGCAGGTGGCCAGTATCATACATGAGTTCTCATTAACAAGTGTGTGCAGAACAACAATGGATTCCTCCAGTGTTGTATTTGCAAGTGATAAGTTTCAAATAAATTGGTTGTTTCACACTGTCCATCCTTTCCAATATAAACCCTAGATTCCAAGAACATTCGGCAGAGGAAATTTCAAATATGAAAACACAACGGTCCTCTTTGCCTTTCCTCATGAGATGTAATCGAAGTACTTGGGATCGGAGGGGAAATCGTACTCCACTTTCATCTGCAACGTTTCCAGATCCAAAGGACCAATCAATCAATCGATCACGCATTGTAAAAGCGTCTAAACTCACCTTGCCTTCGTCCGAGTCGGACTGCCTCTGGGGGAAAACAACGCGCAAGTCGCCGTAGAGGTAGAACCTCCGCTTGTCCGCCGCCGCCGCTGCTGCCCCGGGCGTGCTTGGCTTCCTCGCCCTCGCCTCCTCTTCCTCCTCCGCGTTCTCTTCTAGCTCCCGCTTCTTGAGGGGCGCACACATGAATCTCATGTGAAGCGCGTACCGCAACACCGTTCCGGAGCTCTCCTCGAGCCTGGAAGCTTTGTCCTGCTGCTGCTGGAACAGAATCTCTCTTCCTTTTTCCTGCTGCTGCTCCCGGAATGAAATCTCTCTTGCTTCTGCCTGCTGTTGCTGCTGCTGCTGCTGGAATGAAATCTTTCTTCCTTTCTCCTCATCCTGCTGCTGCTGGTGCGGCTTATTCTCTGTCGACTGTACAAATCTCTCCTTCCCCGTGTTATTTTTTATGCTGCTGCCACTACTGCCGCTAATGATCCCTATCCTGTCCTCTACGCCTCCCAAATCGTTTGTGCCTTTCTTGTCCTCCTGTCTATCCCCACTACTCCCCTGAAATAGTCTGCGGCCACACGATATGTCGTCCCTCGTGACGCTTCGAGGCTTGCTGAGACTTCCCACAGTGGGTGCTAACGACAGCTTTTGCCGCATGAACGTCTACACAAGGCCAACCAAGAGCACATAAGCGCTAGAGCCTGGAGAAAAAAGTCACGCATAGACAGACCTTGGTTCCTGGTGGCATATCTGTCAAGTCATAGCTGCAGATGAATGTATGTACAGGGGTCTTTTCTGGATTGCTCACCACCTACAACCAATAGAGCCCTTGAGAAAACTAGGACACCTCAACGAATAAACACTTTACCAGTTGCACTCGGCCCCGGATTGGAACTCTGAAGCGGGACCCCTTCCATGCACGCGTCTCCTCTTTTATACAAGTGTTTGCCTGCTGCGATTTGGCTTTGGAGTCGATGATGTCAATAGAAGCGTAGTATAGCAAGCAACTGTCGCCGTCTATACACGAAACCGAGAACGGGAGCTTGCGCATCTGGGGAGACCAGCTACCGCCCGATACACTCAGCAGCGCTAGGAAACCATCCAGTTTCTGCAATCCCATTGTCAGAGAACACTAGGCCAGTAAAGGAGTAAATAGGAAAAGACGAACCTGACAAGACTTTCCAGCTAGAAAACGTCCAGACAGCAAAGACTCCTCAAAAGAACCAACCAGAGATCTTCTCGTCGGCAAACCATTCTTTAAGCAAGTTCCCAAACCTGCGTCGTGGAGCGCGAGCTTGTCATCTCTAAACTCGTAGTCATCGTCCAGGGACATGCTTCGTATTTGCAGCCGGTTTGATATCGCTGCCGGATCCCACATCTCCGTCTTGGTACCAGGATACCTCCGGCCGAGCGGTGACAGTGTGAGCATCTGAGCCACAGTTTTCTTCTTGGTCGGCGACTCCCAGCTCTTGTTGTTGATGGTGGTGATGGTTGTCTCTTGATTCTTAGTGCTCGAGCAAACATCGATGGAGAACTTCAGGCCTTGTTGGACGTCGCAAGCCCCGGGAATTGGAACGGGCGTGCTCACGCCAACTCTCCTGGAGAACTCGTATACGCATTCGTTCTTCACCTTGCATGGAAGCGCAAGAGCCTGCTCCTGTTCTTCCGGAGGAGCAACGCTCGTATTGTTCTTGACAGCGCTCGCGGTGTTGTCATCATCGGACGTGTAGTGGAGCAAGCCATCGTTATTTGGATCCGACAAGATGTCCGCGAGTGGAGAGATCTTCCTCCTGTTATTGTTCGTGGTGGTGCTGCGGCTGGTAAAAATTCCACCATCTTTCTCTGCCGTCTGTCGAAATCCTTGCTCTTGGGCCGGAGGAGACTCAAATCCGACGATCACTTTGCTGTTGGAATTGAATGTACCACGGATCCTCGTCGTCGCTGCTGCTGCTGCCGGGGAGAGCTTCTTAGAACCGAAACTTGTGGGCGATAGTGGCGGCGCCGGATACTCCCACACGCCACCACCATCGCCACCATTCTTCCCACCGGAATTGCTAGCTCTGGCCTTGGAATCCAGGGAATCCCCGTGCTTCCTCTTCATCTCATCCTCCGGCTTGAGCTGGACCCTCTTTCCCTGGCGCGAGAAAGATCTACGCGAATTGCTGGTATTGCCCGCTACGTGATGCTCCTTTTCTTCTTCCTCAATATTAGGACGCAGCAAACCCATCTCTCAAGCCAGTTTGTTGTTCTTGCGAAAGAAGCTAAGCTGCGCTGCGCAACCTAATCGGAGAAAGAAGAGATTACCTCGTCCATCGCTATGAGAATCCCGATTCGCGTTTGTCGATTCGCAAATCCGTCATTGCCGATGGGGAAGAAAGGGGAAAGAAAGAATTCCCAAAGAAGATCGCTCGCTCCCTATCTAGCCAATTGCGGCTGCCTCAATCCGCGATGCGTTGCGCGGAAGGGCGATCGCGCATCGAGCATCGCGGGCCGGCGCGGCGCAGCGCCCTCGCTCTCTCTGGCCTAGGGCACCCACGAATGATGATGGGGAATTTGGTGATATGGGCATGGGCATGGGCAGGGACACAAAGAACACACACTTTTGTGGCGTGGCTTTCAATTTTATTCTCATCTCTCATGGATTTTCTTTAACAAAACCGATTGGATTCTTTTTTTTTCTTTGCTTCTCTATGACAAGGTTAAAAGAATGATCGATCGCTAGAAGAAAATTTGTTCCAGGCTGCTAAGCACGAAAGAAGATCATTGATGCTCCTCCCACGATGGTGGAATTATTTTTATTTTTCTTCTCGCGCGAGACTTTGGTTGCGCGACGAAAATTTGAGTAGAAGTCATACGCTTTGCCTGCGCACACATAAAGATGGCGCTTGTCAAACCAGGGAAGCGTTCTTCTACCTTGAGTTACGCGGTGATGCGGTAGACTCTGGAGCCGAGATCCTCGACTTGGAAGCCGGCGTTCCCACAGTCGGCGAAGAACAGTGCCTCGTCCTCTTTTGGAATTCGTCGTCGCCAGCTCATGACAAAGCATGGCTTCCTCGAGAGTGGGAGCTTCCGTGAATCTCGATCACTGGCTAGTAGAAACTTGAGCGTTTTGACGAGATTCGGGTACTGCTTGACATCTGCCAGGATTGATAGAGGAATAAGAAAACGAAAATGTTTACGACGTACACAAGAGAATGTCGCTGGCGATGACCAACTCCCACGCCGGAGCATCTGCAGGAAATCGTTCGCCCCACGTATCTGAGCAAAGAGAAGTTCATGAGAAATACTTCGAAGAAAAAACTAAAAAACAATCAATCTAGCGAGTCAAGCTTTAAAGACTCTCGAAGACTTACGGCGGATATGAGGGACTGGAGCCATGCCATTGAGCTTGCAATTGTGCGCAATGTTCGCTTCGATCTCGTCGTCGTCGTAGTCACAAGTTGTGATGTCCACCGCGAGTGACTTCTTCAAGAAAATCGCGAGAGCTCCAGTTCCACTGTTACACACTGCGGGTGTCACAGACTCCGCGAGGAACACGAGAGCAGAGTACCTTCCAAGCTCGAGCACCCGACTGCCCTCGACAAGTTCCCTGTGCTCCACGAGCCACTGCGCAAAAATCGTCGAGCCGGGCCAAAGCAGATTCGCATTGACTTGGTGGAACATAAACTCACGAACTTTGAGCGTCTGGAAAGGGATCCATTCAAGTCAGACAAAGAGAAAGATGGTTTTTTTTCTTCAAAATAGAGCTCGAAAAAATACCATCTCTGGGAACGAATGCTCTCTTTCGACAAATCCAGCATCAGCTGGGAAACAAGGAAAACAAATTAAGTCAGCACAAGATCACAACTAGAACCTGATTCTTCGCCATCGCTGTCTTCCCGAAAGAGATCTCCAGCGCAAACAAACGCTGGATCCATTTGACCGCCTGGAAATCAAAGGCAAGGACCAAAGAAAAACCCTAGGAGGAACGATCAAGCAAAAGTATTGGAAATTCTTGGAAATCTGTGTTACAGGAGCAAAACACTCAAGATCCGGGGGAATTAGGCGCTGGCGGACTTGTAGTGGTAGAGCTTGCCTACCACATGAAGCGCCGTCACAAACCCTATGAAGCAGAGGCTCATCACGAGCACCATCGTCGGCGTGATCTTGAGCCCCGGCGCATCGTCTGTGTAGAACCTAAGCATATTTCCGCCGCTGCCCCCAAATCCTCCACTCCCGGACGAAGCGCGCCTCCGCCGGAGCCCAGATGCGTTGCCGGCAGCTCCGCGGGGGCCCGATCCGGCGCCTCCACGGCCAGCGGCCACCACCGATGCAGCTTGCTGACTCTGCGACGCGCCTTTGGCCATTGCTCTGTTCTGAAGAACCCTAAATTTGTAAAGAACCCTATAACCAGTTTATAGAACTTTAAGCCACGTGGCGATAAAGGAATCTGGCATCTTTTGCCCTTTGAGAGAGCCCTAGGAAGGAATGCTAGCGAGAATTTCCCAGTGGGTCGCCAAGGCCAGTGGCGGCAGGAGTGTGGCGTGGATTGTGAAGCTCAATGGCGGCAAGGAGCTCATCGGGCGGGACGATGGCGGGAACACGTATTTCCGGAAGCCTTTCGTCAATGATCTAGGCGTTTGTGAGTAGAAAATTTTCGGTTTTTCCAGTGTTTTCGAGCGAATTTTTGATCTGGGAATCGTTGCTTCCAGCAACAGAGAAGCGGTGGATGGAGTTTGCAGGCGATCCAGATCCCACTACCGTGCCGGGTATTTTTAACTTCTAGATTTGCTTGTTTGTTCTTCCTTCTCAAAGTTTCTCTAGTCGAGTGGAGTAGATGGCTGACTTACACGAGAAAGGATGCGCCGACGCCACAGGCAAGAAAGATTTTTTTTTCTTCACTTGAGATGATAATTCCTTTTTTCTTGTTTTGTAGGAGTTAGTGGACAAAGCTTTGTATCGCAAGAATGTGAAGATCAAGGCAGCATGTAATGTTGTGTGAAAAATGGTTTTCACTTTAACACAGGATCGATTGCGCAGTAATACAGAAGGAGGAAGAGAAGCGAATTTTCAGAGCCAAGAGCTTGAAGAAGGAAGGAGGTATGTTTGCTGGGTTTTTCTTCTTCCAAAACTCACAGAGATTTAAATCTTGTAATGCAGTTGATATGAGTCCCCAGACTATGGAAAGGTTTCTACGTCAGGTTTCATCACAGGGTAAATGCTTTCCTCTATGTCTATTGTTTTTCCTGTCCTTGAGTAACATAGCTTTCTTAGATGAAAAGAGCCAAGATACCAGTGATTGGAGCCCGGTAGATTCTTCAAGGTACCAATTGAATTGCACTTGCCTTGTAAAAAACTCACTCCTTGATTTGGTATAGTTCAACAGAGCCTTCAGGCACAGGCGACACTTTTGTGCCAGGGAAATGGCGACCTTAAATTAGTTTCGAGGTAAGAAAGATTTAAGGAATAAATAATAGATTTAATTATTTGTGGCCGTTTTTAGAATATCATCATTTAATTAGGACTTTTAATTATAGAAGGATAAGATATTTAGACATGGAACCCTGGCTACTCACCCCCCTCCCACTCTAACCCATTGAGCTCGTCGCCTAACACCTCACCCACATAGCTCTTAATTAAGTTTATCATATAGCCACTTCAGCCACCCTGGTGATGTTGTTTGGTGTGATTTTCAAAGCTATATACCACCTCATGGAATGCGAGCAAGAAGCTTGTTATATTCCCTTTGAGCTGGACTATGCCTTTTTAGCTTAGAATTATGTCACTTATACAGGAACTCATGATTGAGGGCATAGTTTGTTAAAGTTCAAATACAAAAAAAAATAGCCCAGAAATAATAAGATGCACCCTTTTTTTTAATCAATGGTATTTAAAGTTAAACATCCTTAAGTTTTAAATTTTATAATATGAATTTCTAATATAGTTTTGATTTATAATTTACCCTAAGAATAATTTGCTGAGCACATCTTATTCCACTACTAAAACCCATAGGATGAACAAACATCAGTACTGCTGTGCCTTCCTATACATTTTGAGATGTACAATCTTGTTCAAGACTTACAATGATCTGAACGAAATAAAGCTTGTCATTAGAAATAAAAAATGCATCCCAAGCACCTGGTTGTCTGTCTTCCCCATGTAATACACTCCCCTCCTCAAGACTGGTGGTTTTCGGATTGTACACTGTTGCCACCATTAGGGAAAGGTCACCATGTAGTCTTAACACATTCATCAAAGACCTTATACTGGAAAGTCCTGTCATTATAGATTAGCTTATGCACTTCCCACTCCACTTCTTTGTCACGCATTTCAGCAAGGTGGACTCCTACAGCTTCTTTCCGGTCCTCAAACAGCATGCTCTTTGCAACCTCAGCTTGTAGGTTTTCAAGACTAGGCTCCAAATAAAATTTCAGCTAAAATCACAGGTTTTTGTGAGATCTTTGGTAGCTAGGGTTTGCCTTCCAGACAGCTATGCCCACGAAACAAGTCCCTTTAGTATTTTGGAAGATCACGGATTTTGGGAGGAAATACACATTGTGGAGTCAGCCCCATTGCACCTCTTGGAGCATAACAATTGAGGGCTTGTAGAGGAGTCATGAGGCAGATGGTCCCTTAAGAGTTTTTGTTCTTGTTTTGTAATAAATTACTAGTTTAACTTCTAACTGATAAGTTATAAATTTTATATATATATATATATATATATATATATATATATATATATATTTGTGAGATATGGGAATAAATATGTTAATTATGGTTTAAAACTCTACTTAAGAATGGATGGACCAAATTCAATAGAAGGTTTATATACTATAATACTATAATTAGGGTACACAAAATAATATATAAATTTACAAACCTTACATTATCCTCCCCTTCGGAAGATGAAAAAAGAAGTCAGATAGAACATTTAGAAGTTTTGTTAAGTGATTATAGATTGCTAAAAGAATCTAAAACACTCATAAAACCACTAATACAGTTATTAACAATCATGATAGAAACAAAACCCAAAGTCATGACATAAACATCAATCGACTATAGAATTTCAATGAACTAATTCCAACTACCAAATGCTTAAATCCATTTCAAACCCATAACTTTGAACCAAATTACAAATGAGACACTACCTCCCAACCCTTAAGGCATTATAGCCTGTAGACCATAGAATATTCTTAAAATATTGATATGGTTCATATCATCCTTTGCCTTATGACCCAGCTATGAATGGTAGCCTCGAAAAGCTAAATAAGCCTCATATAAAAGGAATCCAAGGCAATACTGCCATGGAAAAAAGATGTGCAAACAACAATACCAACATCGCGACAAATAACCATGAAAGAAAGAAAGCAATATGGCTTTCTCACATGACAATATGGTCATAGAAACAAGAGAATGAGAATAAAACAAATGACTCAAATCATATAACAATATAGTTATAGAACTTAATTCTCCCTTTCCTCAGGAATGCCATCCAAGTCATAATGAAAACTTAAAAACACTCTCTTCATATCAATTTTAGTTTCCCATGTAGCTTCATCCATGGAATAACCATTTCATTAAACTAACAACTCCCTAGTTGTCTTCTAACATGTTTTAACCAATCTTTGAGCAAAAATATTGGCTAAATCAGCCTTCTTAGCATTAATCTTTGGGACCTAAATGATGAATTGATCCATGACATCACTAGAGTGCAAACACGCTTTAAACTTGTTTACATGGAACGTTGAATGAATTTTCGAACTAGCTAGCAAGTCTAAAGTGTATGCAAGATTGCCCATGCACCATAAAATTGTCCAAGACCCATAATACCATGGAAACAATTTAGTATTGCCACCTCCTTTTAGAGACTGTTGTGCATTTGACAGTTTAAGGAAAACTTTGTTACCAACTTTGTACTCTTGATGATGACAATGTTCATTAGCCACTCTTTTGTCTCAATCTTGAGCTTACCTTATGTTCAATTTTGCCAACTCAAGCTCATTTTGCATATCCTTTAGGAAATCACAAGTATGAGGTATTTGAACCAAAGCCAAGCTCAAACTCATGAGAGATCTAGGCTTATAGCTATATATCACTATAAATGGAGACATGCCAATAGTCAATTGATGAACACTATTGTGAACAAATTGAAGCAAAAGCAAGTACTTATCCCATATTCCCTGTTTAGTCAAATTTCCTATAAGACTTTAGCATATCGTCTAACAATTGATTTATGTGCTTTATTTGCCCAATTGATTGTGGATGCTCACCATTACTTATGCTCAACTTAGTCTCTAACTTCTCAAAGACCATTTGCCAAAACTTGGATGTGAACTTAAAATCTCAATTACTCACAATGTCACCTGGCAAACCATAGAGACTGAATAATTAGTCTATACATAATTGAGCTCATTTTCACTAAGAAGAAGTGAACCATCTTTGTCAAATGATTTACAACAACCAAATAACATCATTTCCTCAAAAGGTCTTGAGCAAACCAGCAATAAAGTCTATTGAGATCCTATTCCATTTATTCTCGAGTACATGTAAAGGATGATAAAGGCTAGTGAGCTTGTGATGATCAAATTTGACTGCTTGGCAGGTCAAATAACCATGTATGTACTTCTTAATATCTAATTTCATCCTAGGCTAAAACAAATGCCTCTTCACCAACATATATGTTCTCAATACCCTTAGATGCCCAATAATTAGCACATTATGACACTCAACAAAAATCCATTTGATGAGTTTGTCAATACAAGAAACCATCATATGTCCCTTCTTCATTAGGATTCCATCTTGTATCTCAAATGATGCAAACTTGTCATTATAGAGGTATCCCTTAACAAAACCTTCATGTGAATATGAGTGATAAAAGAATTAAAGTTAACAAACTCCTTAAGCTCATCCAAGAGATCATTAAATAGTTTTACAAATAAGATAAAATTTACCATCCTAAATAATGCATCAGCCACCATATTGTCACCTCTATGCTTCTATCGGATCTTAACAGACATTTCCTACAGAAACTCTTATCAACAAGCAAAGCGGCTTCGAAGATCACATGAGCCATACCGGTTTAGACCGCAAAATTAGTTTACTTGAGACAAGGAGTTGTATACTATAATTGCTACTATAAATGAATGGTGACATTATCTGTATGGATCAGATTTCCATGTGGATTCAAACCATCAATCTCTTTAGTAAGCAAGAGGATGCCCAAATTAAAGCAAGATGGCTTCAATAGTAATGTCACTTGCATTTGTTTTGACCACAAGAGGCTTCTTAGGATCAAAAATCTTTAACATAAGAGCAAAGATACAACATTGCTTCAAACATTCAAATGCCACTTGACACTTTTTGTCCCAACTATAAATAATAG